GCAGGGGTATCTGTCTGTCTCTGCGTGGGTACCACCTCCGTATGTACACACATCAGTGTGCATAGACGGTCTCACCATAGGGAGATGTGTGTGAGTGTGTGCCTTGGTGTCTGTCCCTGTCACTATCTGTGTGGATGCCTGTGGACCTCAGGGTGTGTGTCCCTGTGCTCTTTCGTGTGTATCTTTCCCAGTGATGGCAAAACAGCAGGACGTAGTTTCCCCGGATTCTCTCCCTTGGATGGCAGGCAGGGTGATGTTATTTCATGAGACACCTGCTCTGCGCCCCTGCCCTAGGCTCTGTTGGACCCCTGGGGGTGGCCTTTTCTCCGTCACTTCGTCTGGTTTATTCCTGTTTGATCAGAGTAGCAACCCACCCTCTTGAGGCAGCCATCCAATGAGCCCCGGGTCCCGGCTGTGGACCCCTGGCCAGGGGTGGGGAGGGACTGCTCTGAGACACTTAGCCAGGGTGGCTGTTCTGTTGCAAGATGCTACCCGAGAACACCCCCCAACACACACCTGACCGTTTTTGGGGTGCAGAATTCTAGACCCGTCAGGCTGTGTGGTACCATCTTGGGTCAGGGGTGGGGGCTGCCATGTCTCCCTTCATCTGAGCGCACCCACAAACCAAGTGGCCACACGCGTGTGTGCATGTGTCATGACTCATGCGTCATCCCAGCGGCCCTGGGGGCCAGGGCTCACAGGGAATGTCAGAGGCAGGTGGTGGGCGGCTCAGAGCAGCGCTGCGTGAAGCGGGCTGCGGGGAGCTCCCAGCAACCACTGGAGAGGCCCTATCTCAACGTGTGCCTTAGGCCTTGAGTGGGAGAAGAGTGTACCCAGTTGTGCAGGGGCTGGAAGGCATTTCCGGGTGACTTTGTGCTGACCAGAAGGGGAGACTGGGTCACCAAGTGCCCTGCACCCCCTGTGCAAACAGCCTCCACACCCAGCATCTTATTTGGTCCTCAGACCCATTCCTGTCCTGCCCCTTCCTCCTTACCCAGCTGTAATTTCCACTTCACAGGTGAGGAAACTGAGGCTAAGTCCTGGGCTGCCAAGGCCTCAGAGTTTGATGTCATTACTGGAGCTCCACTGCAGGCTTCTAGGTCTAGGAGGGTGGGGTACCACCCACATTCCTCCTGCAGGGAAACCCACACAGGGGTGAGGGTCTCCTGGGCATCTGAAAGTTCTAGGAAGAGGTCACTCCTCCCACCCACCCCATTTGTCATCCCTGTTACAAATAACTCATTAGATTAAAACACTGATTTCCTGGGAATTCCCTGGTGGTCCAGCAGTTAAGACTCTGCGCTCTCATTGCTGAGGGCCCAGGTTCAATCCACATGATTTTCTAGCTCTCCCGCCTCCTGAGGTTCCCCGCAAGGCCGTAAGGTCAAAATCCCCAGCATTCACTGCAGAGCTTCCATACCTCTGTTCTACCTTGAGCTTTGAGAACCTGCACTCGACTTTGAACTTCACGATGGTTCCCAATGGCTCTGCCATTCCCACTGCTGAAATGCCCTTTGCCTGGTAAACTCTCACTGACCCTTTTGTGAAACCTAATTGGCTCTCCAGGCTGATGACCTTCAGCTGCCCGCCTGCTCCTCTGTGATCCCAAAGCATTTTGTTCATCACTCTCGCTCGGGGCACTTGCCAGAGTGTAGCCTCCCTAGCGCTCCGCCTGTTTGGCTCTCACCAGTCAGGTCTCACCTGTGAGCTCCTCTAGGAACCCACGGATACCTGTGGTGAATGAATGACCACTGTCCCTCCCGCTGGCGGGGAGCATCCTTCCTGCGGTCTAACCTGAGCTGCTCCTGCTGCAGCGCACGCGGTGGGGAGGGTGAGAGCGACGCCGGGCTAAGGGTGCGCCGGGCCAGAGCGGCGGCAGGTGGGCGCGGCCGGCCGACCCCCGGGGGCGCCGCCGCCCTGCCCGCGACCCCGGCCCGCGCCGCCGCTGGCGCCTCTTCGCCCCGGTAACCGCTAGTGGCTGCTGTCGCTCAGCGGAGCCCAAGGAGACCGCGGCCAGAGCGTCCACCGCGCAAGATGGTGGCTCCCGAGACTCAGTGAGTGCGTGCGTGCGGGGGCCGGGGAGGGGAGGGGGCCGGGCGGGGCGCCCCCTCCAGGAACCTCCAGGCAGGGGGCGGCCACGGGGGCTGGGGGTCCTGCGGCAGAGGCGGCACGGCGCGGGCGGCGCCCATCGAAGAGCTCCTGCACCACGCGCCCCCCAGAGGAAGTTCCCCAGCCCTCCGCATCCAGGCCCCGGGAGGATGGGCTGCCAGGGGACGGGGCTCCTGCCCCTACTCTGCCGGGAGCGTGGACTCCTCTTGGTGGGGTCCCGAAAGTAGGAGACCCAAAGAAGCCTGGGGAGGGGACTGGGGACCCCCATCCTGGGGCCATATAGACACTGTTTGAGGCTTAAGTGCTGGGGTGGAGTGGGGACCACCGGCCAACACACATCGCCCCAGGGGCCCCTCAAGAGTCACGTCTTACATCCCGCCCCACCCAGCCCGGTTCCCTCAGGTTGAGGTAGGAGAATCTCAGTGGCTTTTGCCTGCGTCTTTTAGAGCCGCGCTGTTCAGTAGAACTTTCTGGGATGCTGTATATGTTCTCTATCTGGGCCATCTAGTACAATAGCCACTAGCCACACATGGTTATTGAGAACTTGAAGTGTGGCTCGTGTGGCTGAGGAACTGAATTTTTAAAAATTTAAAATTCTGGGGAATTCCAAGGCGGTCCAGTGGTTAGGACTCTGCGCTTCCACTGCCGAGGGCGTGGGTTCGATCCCTGGTTGGGGAACTAAGATCCCTGCAAGCCACGTGGTGTGACCATATAAAAAAAAAATTAAAATTCTGATTAATTTTAAACAGTCACATGTGGCTGGTGGCTACCCTATTGGACAGTACAGTTTCAGAATCTCCATCTTCCCAGGCCTCCTCCCTCCCTACTCTCTTGTTCTTTTCTCAAAAACCCAGAAGGGTGTCACCTTGACTTTGCACCTCCTCTCTATTCTAAGACTCTTTGGGTGGTGGGCTAGACAAAGTCACAGAATCACGGGACCTTAGGAGGAAAGGACGTCAAAGGCAGCTGTTATAGCCACCCAAAAGGTGCCCAGGTGTCCTCTCCATTGCTCTCTCTGCCTGAGAGCTTGTGCTTCCTGACTCATTCACTGCTCAAATTTTGTGGAGCACCTGCTGGGGGCCAGCCGGTGGTTCCCTTCTCTGGAGTCCAGAGAGGAACAAGTAAATTACCTTACCTGCCCTCAGGGAATTTTCCAGGGGAGGGGGGCGGACAGCAAGAGCACAAGCAATACACAGAAATAAGCATATCTGTAAACTTTGGGGAGTGCGCTGGAGGGAACAAACGGGGCAGTGACAGAAAATAAGGGGACTTGCTGGGGAAGGATAATTAGAGAAGCCTCCCCTGAAGAGGTCATTATGCTAAGACCAGAGGGAAAGTGGATTAGGCAAAGTGTTGGGAGGGAAGGTGGGAACATTCTGGAAGAAGTCGCAGCATGTGCAAAGGTTCTGGGGATGGGACTCTGGCACTCTGGAGGAACTGAGAGAAGGCCAGTGTAGCTGGAAGGGGAGGGAGGCACAGGTGGCTCCCAGAGAGGTCAGCAGTGCCTGGGCATTTGATAGATCTTGAAAGGGATTCTGGTGCTGGCCTCAGAGCAATGGGCAGTCATGGAGGGATTTTAAGCTGTATGTTTTAAAAAGCCCCCTCTGGCTACTGAGAGTCTCTGACCCCAGACAGGGGTAAGAGTGGAGACCCAGAGTGCCATCGGGAAGCAACTGCCGTAGTCCAAGCAAGAGATGATGGTGGCCTGGACAGGGAAGGTGGCAGTGGCATGGAGAGAAGGGATGACTTAGAGGTAGATCGTAGAGGTGGAATCAACAGGACCTGTGGACAGACCAGGTCCTGATGCGGAAGAGAGTGGGGGTTGGATGGGCAGTTTTTCCAGCCGGAGCAGCTGGGTGGGAGAAAGGGCCGTTTTCCTGAGCGGGGCAGCCTGGGAGAGGAGCATATTTTGTAGGGACAGATACAGGAGAGATCTGTTTAGAAAAGCCAGGAAGGCAGTTGGATGGAAAGGTGTGGTGCCCAGAGGAGGGTCCTGTAGAGATGGTTCTGAGCTCTTGGGACAGTTTGAGATAGGGAAGAAGAGGATGAGATGACATCAGAGGAGTGGCTGATGGGAGCAAGGAAAACCAGGGGCTGTGGTGTCCTGGAAGGCAAGAGAAAAGTGTGTTTCAGGGGGGTGTGATGAGCAATACCAACTGCCACTCAGAGTCCAGGGGAAGAGGACCAGCAAGGTTCACCCACTTCTGGCAACATGGAGTGCTTCTCCTTACACTGAATGGGCTGCCCGTGGAATTCTACTCATCTGCCCTTACTCTACCTACCTACTAAGCGCCAGGTTCCACACAGGGCGCTGGGTGTAATATCAGGTGGGCAAGACAGTCACTGCTTTCTCAGAGTTTAGAATCAGCTAAACCAACAGCCTCAGAAACAGAAGTTGTTGGGACTTCCCTGGCGGTCCAGTGGTTGGGACTTTGCCTTCCAGTTCCGGGGGTGCAGGTTCGATCCCTGGTCAGGGGAGCTGGGATCCCGCATGCCTCCCGGCCGAAAAACCAAAACAGAAGCAATATTGTAACAAGTTCAGTGAAGACTTTGAAAATAGTCCACATCAAAAAAAATCTTAAAAAAAAAAAAAACAAGAAGTTGTTTCATATAGCCAAAATAATCCTTTCGTTCTTTTAAACAACCAGTTTTTGCTGAGAGCCATCTGCGTGCCCAGTCCTGTACAGGGACGTAGAGGTACAAAAATGAACAAATGTGATCTTGACCTTCCAGGAACCAAGTACAGAGATACGTCGAGCATCCCTGCATTCACCATATTGTGTTACAAAGACTCATACACAGGGAATTATGGGAGAATAGAGGACAGGTACCAGCCCAGGTTCGGGGGGGGGGGGGGATTAGGGTGGCAGAGGGGATGCCTGAGCTGCTCTCCAGTTATGAATGGGAAATAGCCAGGGAAAGAGGAGGGATAGGGAGTTCCAGGCACAGGGGATGGAGGCAGGAGCAGAAATAACAGTAATGTGTGTGGGACATGGGAAGCCTTTGGAGCTGGCTGAGCAGACAGGAGTGGGAAGGCTCTGGAGGTGTCCAGAGGCTGGGGGGGGGGGGTCTCGCTGGCTCATGGTGAGGTATGTAGACTTAGGCAATGGACACCACCAGAGAGGCGGAAGCAGGGCAGTGACACAGTGGGATCTGTGTGTGGCCTTGCTCTCTGGCCGGTACGTGAGGTATGAATGTGGTGGAACAAAGGCAGAGGCGGAAGCCGCTGCGTAATCCAGGTGAGACGGTGCAGGCCAGGGTCTCAGCATGGCCTGTGGAGTCAGGGGGACTTGGGTTCTAATTCCACCTCAGCCACTTACTGCTTGGCAAACCTCGGGCAAGTCACTTAAAGCTCCCGAGCTTCAGTTTCCTCCTGTCCAAAGTGAGGATGATAGCATCCTCAGAGAGTACTTGCAAGAGTAATCTTGGTCTCCTGATGGGGTCACCCCAGTCCTTAGCACAGGGCCTGAGTCAGTTCGTGCTCGGTAAATGGTAGTTACCGCTGTTGTTATCAGTAACCATGGAGGGGAGGGGCAGGTGTGAGAGATAATGAGGAAGCAGAGGTGGCAGGTCTTGGCCATCAACTGGACTCCTCATCCTCGGCTCGCGCCTGGCGTGGTGGTGGAGGGAGGGAGGTAGAGGCAACCAGCTGGCTGCCTTTAGTCAGGAACCCAGCCCCCGCTTCTGGGCTACCCTTCCCAGAACCACACAGCTGGTGTGTGTGTGAGCGTGCCCACGCGCGTGTTTAGGGAAGGGAGCTCCAGAGGAAACAAATCCCATTCCTCAGTCCTGTGGCTCTGGGAGCTCAGCTTCGTGCTAACTTCCTTCTGTTGACACAAATGACTGTGGCCTGATGGTACCAGTTATCCTTTGGGCGAGGAGCCAGGATTCAGCCCCGAGTTATTCGTGAGCCCTGAGAACCAGCGCTGTCTCGGGATTATACAGTGTGTTTGCATTGATGGTGCTGGTCTTTCCAGCTCTGAGTTCTGACATGCTTCGGCAGTCAAAGCAATCGATGCCTTGTCCTGGATACAGGGAGACCCTTAGAGGGGGCTGCAGACCCCGTACCTCTACCCACTTTGGATAACGCTTTATGGCCCACTCCCAGTAGCCCTTCCCCATTGGGTCCAGTCCACCCCTCGCCCGGGGAGTCCTCTGTGGGCAGTGTGAACCCCCAGTGGACGCCTAACACCTCTCCCTTGTCTCTTTCACCTCCAGTCTCCCACCAGCGGAGTGGAAATAAACTTTCCGGGCTAAGTTAGATGGATGGTCCCCATTAGCCTGGCGGGCTGCCCCCCTCCTGCCTCCCCACCGACTCCCCTTGTCAAAGGAGGTGCTTCGGTGTGCGGGGCAGGCTGGGGGGACAAGAGCATCTGGGTGGGGGTTGGAGGCGCCCTGCCCCTCGAGCAGGAATGGTGCCCCCGGGGAAGAAACCAGCCGGAGAGGCTTCCAACTCCAATAAGAAGTGCAAGCGTTACTTCAACGAGCACTGGAAAGAGGAGTTCACCTGGCTGGACTTCGACTACGAGCGGAAGTTGATGTTTTGCCTAGAGTGCCGCCAGGCCCTGGTGCGGAACAAGCACGGCAAAGCGGAGAACGCCTTCACTGTGGGCACCGACAACTTCCAGCGCCATGCCCTGCTGCGCCACGTGACCTCGGGGGCCCACCGCCAGGCTCTGGCCGTCAACCGGGGCCGGCCCACTTTTGAGGGCCAGGCTGAGGGTGGAGGGACCTGTCCGGGCCTGGCGACCACCCCCAGCTTCAGGAGTGTCAAGGTGGAAGCGAACCCGGCCAAGGTGGCCGTGCTGACCACGGTGTACTGCATGGCCAAGGAGGACGTGCCTGACGACCGCTGCTCTGCCCTGCTCGAGCTACAGAGGTTCAACCTGTGCCAGGCGCTGCTGGGCATGGAGCACGGCGATTACTACAGTCCTAGGAGGGTGAGGGACATGCAGGTGGGTGGCAGCCAGGGCTGTGGGGGAGGGACTGAGGAGGGAGAACATCGAGCCATCTGGGCATGGTACCGGCACGCCAGGCCCCCGGGCAGCAGCCAAAGCACTTCATTCACACCTTCGCCCATCAGAGCCTTCACTGAGGGCGTACCAGGTGCCAGCTCCTGGGTGCCCAACAGTGAAGAGGCCGGACCAGGCCCTGTCCTCAAGGGCTCAGGTCCGCTCCCCTCACTACCTAGGTCAGAGGTTGCAAACTGGTGGCCTGGGAGCTCGATTGGCCCACAGATGTGTTTTGGTGGTTTTCACAGTTTTTAAGAAAACTTAAATTAGTCTCCAAGATAAACAAAAAACAACAACAAAAAAAACCAAGAGATTACATATAAAAATGTGGATTTGTGACTTCTACTAAAAAGCTAGGTCCTGTGCAGTCAGGGCATGAAGTTCTGGAGTTGGAGAGCAGGGCATGGGCTTCCCCATTCCCTTTGGTTTATCCCTGGCCCACTTCAAGGTCAGTATCACCCATGTGGCCCCTGGGGGCATGCATATTGCAGCTCTGACCTAGGCACTGGCTGTATGAGTCCTGGGGGCTGGTAAGGGGGTGGGGGAGTTGGATCTCATCGCCCAGAGAGATGACAAACAGCACACAGTTGGGGCCCTTTGTAACTAGTAGGGAGTCAACGTGTCTATCAGTTAATCCCTGAGCAGCAGAGCAGAGGGAGACCCCAGGAATAAGGCTGACAGGGGCAATGCTGTAGAAAAACACACACATACAAAACGCTGTAGAATCTTTATGGTTCCTAAAGCATTTTTACACGTACAACACAAAATTACATTGATGGGAATTCCCTGGCGGTCCAGTGGTTAGGACTCCATGCTTTCACTGATGAGGGCCCAGGTTCAGTCCCTGGTCAGGGCACTAAGATATGAGTCACAACAACCTTTTGAGGAGCTTGGGGGCAGGTATCAGCCTGGTTTTAAAGCTGAGGAAACAGAGATGAACAGCGAGGTGAAATGATTTGCCCAAGGTCACACAGTCAGTAAGTGGCAAAGCTAGGGTTAGTCTGACCCCAGGCCTGTGCTCTTTCTATCACCCCACCCTGCCTGCCTCCCCTTCCCAGGACAAGCCTAACTCTGTCCTCCCTCCCTTTCTTTCCCTGGCTGTCCCAGGTGGCCATTGCCAGTGTCTTGCACACAGAGGCCTGCCAACGCCTGAAGGCATCCCCGTATGTGGGCCTGGTGTTGGACGAGACCAGGGACTGGCCTGAGTCCCACAATCTGGCCTTGTTTGCCACTTCGGTGTCCCCCTGCGATGGCCAGCCTGCCACCACCTTCCTGGGCAGTGTGGAGCTACAGGAAGGCGAGGCCACTGCTGGCCAACTCCTGGACATTCTGCAGGCTTTCGGCGTGTCTGCATCCAAGCTGGCCTGGCTCAGCTCAAGCCTCCCCAGTGACCGCCTGGGGAGCGTGGGCCCGCAGCTCCAGGCTGCCTGCCCACTGCTCATGGAGCTGCACTGCCTCCCCGGCCGGACAGATCCCAAGCCCCCTGCCTACCTAGGTGAATATGAAAGTGTGCTGGATGCCCTATTCCGCCTCCATGGTGGCCCCAGTTCCCACGTGGTCCCTGAGCTCCGGGCAGCACTGGACCTTGCAGCTATTGACTTGGCAGGACCACGGCCAGTGCCCTGGGCCTCCCTGCTGCCTGTGGTGGAAGCAGTGGCTGAGGCTTGGCCTTGCCTGGTGCCCACGCTGGAGGCCTCTGCCCCAGCCTCACCTACAACCAGGGCACTGGCCCTCGCCTTGCGCCAGTTCACCTTTGTGGCCTTCACCCACCTCCTGCTGGATGCTCTGCCGTCCGTGCAGAAGCTCGCCCTTGTCCTGCAGCCAGAAGAGCCGGACTTGGCCTTGCTGCAACCGCTGGTGACGGCAGCTGCAGCCTCCCTCCAAGCGCAGCGCAGCTCTGGTGGGGCGCGTCTCCAGGGCTTCCTGCAGGAACTGGCAACCTCCAGCCCCGACTTGGGCCGCGGCCGCTGCACCTACCGCGGTGTGGAGCTGGTGGGCTACTCCGAGGCTGCGGTCCAGGGCTTGGAGCGGCTGCGGGGGGCTTTCCTGGACTCCATGCGGAGGGGGCTGCGGGACTCCTACCCCGGGCCCTCGCTGGACGCCGTGGCCGCCTTGGCGGCGATCTTCGACCCCCGCCGCTACCCGCAGGCACCCGAGGAGCTGGGCGCGCACGGCGAGGGGGCGCTGCGCGTCCTGTTGCGCGCCTTCGCCCCCGCCGTGGTGTGCCAGCGGGCGCTGGGCGACTTCGCGCTCTTCAAGCGCGTGGTGTGCAGCCTGGGGCGGCTGGGCCCGCGGGCCCTGTGCGCCAAGCTGGCGTGCGCGCGCTCTGAACTGCACGAGCTCTTCCCTGACTTCGCCGCCCTCGCCTCCCTGGCCTTGGCGCTGCCCGCGGGCGCCGGCCTCCTGGACAAGGTCGGCCGCAGCCGGGAGCTGCGGTGGTGGGGGCCGGGCGGGGCGGGGGAAGGCCGGGGCGGCCCCGCGGTGAAGATCGCGGTGGATGGGCCGCCGCTGCACGAGTTTGACTTTGCGCTGGCGGTGGAGTTCCTAGAGAGTGGGTGGGGCGAGGGGCTCCTGGGCTCGCAGCTCACGTGAGGGCGGCCTCCTCTCCTCTGTCCAGCCAACCCGGGGCCCTAGGCTCTCTAAGGGCCAAGCCGGACTTGACTGTGCTGCACCCAGCCTGACCTCCTAGCTGCGGCCTCCCACCCAACTTCCCCGTGCTTCCTCTGCTCCACGCTGAGTACTAACCCAGCCCCGTGGGCTGTGGAGGAGGGGCTGGATCGGGGGCGGGGCTCGGGCCAGTGGGCAGAGGTGCTGGGGTCTGGGGCACCCTAAATATCACTCCTGACCTTTCCAGAGTTTGGTGAGAGTAGCTCACCCCTTTCCCTCTGAACTCAGCCCAAGTTTTGGTCCTAGAAAAGTTGAGGGGCTATTGGTTGGAGGGAGGAAGACAGGGTCTGCGCAATTCAGGGGTTGAAGGAGAGGAGACTGGGTCCTTGACTGTTGGCCCCCACTTCTAGCGACATCTCTTCAGCTGTGACTGGAGAGCAGATGACCGCCCTTGTTTTTGACACACAGCACAGCACCCTCTCTGTTCACAAGCTAACAGTTCAAAGGAAGTGGTGGTGCCCTCCTCACCAGTAGGCTGCCTGAGGCTTTTCTCTCTATGGCTGTGTATATCGACATACACATCTATAAATGTAAAATAAATCTATCCTATCTTTCACAGTGTTAATACACAAAATCTAAAAGGACTTACTTTGGTTTTGCAATGACAGGGTCCAAAAAAGTCCCAGGTGGACTAAATTTATTTCTAATTTTTTTCCTCCTCAAAATCTGGTTGCTCTCTAAGTTCCTAGCCTTCCCCTGCCCTTGCCTCAGACTTTTTTTTTTTTTTTTTGCCACGCCAGGATTTTAGATTTTAGTTCCTCGACCAAAGATTGAACCTGGGCCCTCGGCGCAGAGTCCTAACCACCGGACTGCCAGGGAATTCCCAGCAGATTTTTTTTTTCTCGCCCACTGCTTGGCTTGTGGGATCTCAGTTGCCCGACCAGGGATCGAACCTGGGCCCCTGCCTCAGACCTTTAAGACCAAAGACTGTAAAGCCACAGTGCTGGACTGGCTGACTCCGAGATGCAGCCTCAGGCCCAGCACAGGGATGTCGGAGGGCTTTTTGCCTCCTGAAGGAAGCAGCTGGGGCCTCACCAGAGCTGGGGAACACATCCTTTCAGATTCCAGTGGGTTTCCCATCCCCTCTGTCAGCCCTTGCTGTGAACCATGTGGGGATCTGGACAGGGTAGGTAGTGAGAGGGGAGGGGGCTGGCCTCTCCCCAGGCCTCCTGGGTTTGGGTTTAATTTGCAATAAAGTGGAAACCCAGTGCATCGTGCAGTCTCCGTGGTGGTGTGTGTGTCAGGGGCCTGACTCCCTTGGCCTGACTCCCCTCTGGGCTTCATTTAGGTTGTTACGCTGCCCCTGTGGGTGGGGTGGTGGTCATCCTTCTGGGCTGGCAGCCTGGAACTGTGGACTCCCTGCTTCTGCTTCCCCAGTTGTGGAGAGGAGAGGCACAGAAACGTGCTGTCATCGCCCTGGACTCGGCCAGTGCTACTTTGTGGACAGGGAGACGGGCTTCTGCTCTCTCTCTACACCCAAGAAGCCCATCAGCCTCGTGTTCTGGCTGCGGAGGGAGGAGTGAGCCCCGTGGCTCCCCGTTTCAGACCCTGCCCTTCTTCCTCCTGCAGCAGGCCCGGCCTCCAGCACCCCCAGCCCCCTGCTGGCCTCCCTGCCCCTGCCCGCCAGGCCTCTGCAGCCCCCGCTGGACTTCAAGCACTTGCTCGCCTTCCACTTCAATGGTGCCACCCCGCTCAGTCTCTTCCCCAACTTCAGCACGGTACGGGCTGGGCTGGCGGGTGGGGGGCATGCAGCCAAGTGTGGGGGTGGAGGGGAAGGGGGGCTGCAAGGGCCCAGCTCTCAGAAGCTGGTCACCAGAGTGACCAAGTGCTCCTGAAATGGGGCCCAGCTCCCACTTAGGCCAGGGATCCAGGATGGTATCACCCCCTCCCCCCAGCAACTACTGCTGGGCCCTGGGGGGGGGCCTGTGAACTGCAGGTTTCACTTGAGTTTCTCTATGGGGATGTCTGTGTGCACTCGGGGTGTGCCTTTCTGTTTTAGTTTGTCTCTATAGGACTTTGTTGTTCGTGGGTGTGAGCTTGTGCATGTGTGTTTATAAACTCTGTGCCTGGGTAGTTGTCTGTAATTAGTGTATGTGCTTGTGTATCTGAGAGTTTTTTTGTGTCTTGGTGTCGACTGTGTATTTGTTTGGTGTGTGTCTGGCCTCTGAGTGAGTGTTTTTCGTGGTTTGGGTGACCGTAAGTGTGTGGATGTTGGTGTGTATGCCAGTGTGTATCTTCCTACTTGTCTCTGTAATTTGTAACTGCCTGTAAGCTTATGCGCTGTGTGTCTGTCTACTAGTCTGTATACACGGAAACATGTATTTCCATGTGTGTATGTGTGTAAATATGAAATTTACTTCACTACATGACCTATAAGGTACGTCCCCTTTTTTAAAAAATTTGGAAAATCAAATATAATCATTGATGAGCCCCACCCCATCCTGACAAGATGGTAGGAAATTCCGTCTCAGTCACCCTTGGGAGCTCCTTCCTTCCCACCCTCCGGGGTTGTGCAAACGTCCTATGGAGCCTGAGACATTTGGGGAGGGTCCTCTGGTCTTCGGTCCCCACTGTCACTTGCTGACATGCTCACTGTTCAGGCACATAATCCCTAAGAGGGGGTCAACCCGCTGTCGTCCTCCTACTGGGGGCCCTGCAGGCCACTCTCCTCTGAAGTCCTGTCCTCTGCACGCCCCCGCCCTGGGTGCTGTGGGAGTTAGAGCCTCTTTCTCTTGTCAGGGAAGTTTCTCTCAAAGTTTCTGTTCTCCTCTCTCAGGAAGGTTTGGAAAGTTCCTCTTCCAGACAGCTTCTGCTTTGGGCCCAACAACCTAGCCCCTGAGAAAAGGGAACATAAAAGCTTGGTTTGATAGAAGAAAAAAAATTTATTTAAAATAAGGAAAAGAAAAAAACACGCAAATTAATATGCCAGAGAAACGACCCTACTACTCGGGGAACCCCCCTCTGGCTTCCACTTGCTGCCCCTGCTGCGCCCGCCCAGCCCCCCACCGCCCCTGGGCCGTGGCTGTCCCTCTCCCTCTCAGACCCGGTGACAATGGCAGAGCTGATAAGATAAGCCTTATGTCCCCCAGCCCGCAGGTCCAGCGCAAGTCTGGGTTATGGGAGAGGAAATTCCAAATTCCTTTCTCTGCTTCTGCCTGCCCCCAACTCTCTGTCCCGATAGTTGTGACTCTTGCGAATGAGAAAAAAAAGAGACCAGAGGGGCGGCAAGAGATGCCAGTGTGATCGCCAGCGCATGGTTCTGTTCCGCAAGGTCATGGAGGTCATCCTGGCCATCCCCCTGCCTCTAAGCAGAAGCGTAGGCCTACAGAGAAGGTCAGCCAGGGAAGAGGCTGTTTCTTTTTCTCTAATATCCACAGACATGGGAAATTTCTTCCTCTGGGCTGGTCACTGCCCTCCTCCGTAGTCTTAGTTTTTGGCATTTTGCAGTGCCCGCCCCCCGCCCTTACTGAGCTGACCCCAAAGTTACTGTGCACTCCCACCCCCTTCACAGATGGACCCGGTCCAGAAGGCCGTCATCAGTCACACATTTGGGGTTCCCTCCCCTCTGAAGAAGAAGCTCTTCATTTCCTGTAACATCTGTCACCTGAGGTTCAACTCAGCGGTGAGAAGGAGTAGTGGAAACAGGCTGGGGAGGGGGCTGGAGACTGGGCTTCTGGGGTCTTTCCTGGAGGAATAGGGGTGGCAAAGGGACTGGGCTCCGTATTTTCTGTCCTTCGTTGCAGAAGAGCCCCTCCTGGTCCTTTATCCATCCCATCCTCTCCTCTCTCCAGATTCCTCTGCCCCATCCCATCCCATCCCCCTGGGATTTCATTTCCCTCCCCTGTGCCTCTCTCCTGTGTCCTGGACCCTTCTGCCAGAGAGAAGGCTGCCCTTCCCTACTCCGGGTCCCAGGGGTCACCATCGGCTCTCGGTCCAGAGCTGAGTTCTTAATGCACCTGAGAGTTTCCAGAATGTGTTCATGCCTATCCTCTTAATGAGTTCTCTTGATACATCTGTGAGATGGATAGAGGTGCTATCATCAGCCCCACTTTTCAGATGAGGAAACTCAGCCTCAGAGAGGTTAAGTGACTTGCATGGGGCCACACAGCTGGTAAGTAGAGCTGGGATTTGAACCCAGGCCTGGCTGACCCCATAGTCCGCATGTTTTCTACCATGGCCCGCCCCTAGAGAGCGGACCTTCCCTGCTCTGGTGAAAGTGCCCAGGGAGGGGTCACGGGGGCCTGTCTTTCCTACTTTTGGGAGCAACAAAAAGGGACCCCTAGTGGACAGGCCAGATCTGGAGGGTCCCTCCAGGCCTTCAGGTTATGTAAGTCATGCAAGTGATGAACAGAGAGACTTCACTCTGAGGGAGGAACCGTTATCTTCTTCATACCAGGCCCAGCACAGTGCCTGGCACATAGCAAATGTTCAATAACTATTTGTTGGGAAAATGTACAAAGGGTTGAATGATCTGAGGTGCACATTCCCGAAAGTGTGGGGACTGCTCTGTTTTTCCACTTGTGCATTTATAAACCTGTTGGTAACTAACATTCACTGAGCACCTACTGTTTGTACTAGGCCCTTATCATTCATGTTCTCATTTTAATTCTCACAACTCTGTGAAATCAGTATTATCATCACAGAGCTCACGAGCGAGGAAACTGAGGCTCAGAGAGGTGATGGGACCTGCCCAAAGATGCACAGTTAATAAGCTGCTGAGGCAGAATTTGAAGCCAGGGGCTGCTTGCCTGCGAGCTCGTGTATGAGAATGCATTCTGTAAACCTCAGGGCCACACACATGCTGTGATGATGACAAGCGTGCACCCCCTGTGTGGCCGGAGCCGTGCCTCCCTCTGACCTGCCCCCTGCCCAGTGCCAGCTCAGGGATGGGGCAGGTGGACTCAGCCAGTGAATGGTGACCCCACGCCCTCCCCTCCCCAGAACCAGGCCGAAGCACACTACAAAGGCCACAAACACGCCAGAAAACTCAAGGCTGTCGAGGCCACCAAGAGCAAGCAGAGGCCGCAAACCCTGGCCCAGGATGGGATGCTGGTGTCCCCATCCCCGACTCCAGCCAGTGGAGCCCCTGAAGAGCCACAGAGCAAAGGTCAGTCCTGAACTTTTCTCCCCCTATCCCACTCCAAATCTGGCTCTGACAAGGGGTTGAGCGATTTCTGCCTATTATTATTCCTGCTCGTGTGTATTCCATACATACAGGGAAAGGCACACATCACATGTGTAGAGCGCCACGGATTTTCCAGTCTGGATCTGCTGAGATGAAGAAATGTGTCACAAGCACCCCAGAAGCCCCTCCTTGGGTCCCCTCCCGGTCACTACCTTGTTGTTAGCTTCCTAGGGCTGTGATAACAAATGACCACAAACTGGGTGGCTGAAAATAACAGAGATGTGTTTTCTCACAGTTCTGGAGGTCAGCAGTTTGAAGCAAGGTGTCAGCAGGGTTGGTTCCTTCTGGGGGCACGGTTGGGTGGGGGGAATCTGTTTCATTCCGCTCTTCTAGCTTCTGGTCGTTGCCGGCAATCCTTGGCTTGTGGATGCCTCATTCCGGTCTCTGCCTCCGACTTCACATCACATTTTCCCCAGTGTCTCTGTGCTTTCACATGGTCTTCTTATAAGGACACCAGTCATTGGATTAGGGCCCACCCTAGTCCAGTATGATCTCGTCTTAACTAATTACATCAGCAAAGACCCTATTTCCAAATAAGATCACATTCTGAGGTTCCAGATGGACATGAGTTTGGAGGTGATGCTATCCAACCACCTACACCCCTCCCCCAGAGTAACTGTGAGCCTGACCTTTCTCACCAGAGATCAGTTTCACCTGGTTTTGGTTAATGATATACAGATGGTCCCTGACTTCATGGTGGTTTGGATTATGATTTTTTTTTTTTTCGGTACACGGGCCTCTGACAGCTGTGGCCTCCCCCGCCGTGGAGCACAGGCCCCGGACGCGCAGGCTCAGCGGCCATGGCCCACGGCCCAGCCACTCCGTGGCATGTGGGATCCTCCTGGACCGGGGCACAAACCCGCGTCCCCTGCATCGGCAGGCGGACTCCCAACCACTGCGCCACCAGGGAAGCCCTGGATTATGATTTTTTGACTTCACAACAGTGTGAAAGCCATATGCATTCGGTAGACACTGGACTTCCAATTTTGAATTTTGATCTTTTCTGGGCTAGCAACATACGGCAGTGGTCCCCAACCTTTTTGGCACCAGGGACCAGTTTCACGGAAGACAATTTTCCCATGGACCGGGGAGGGAGGGTTGGTTTCAGGATGATTCAAGCACATTACATTTATTGTGCACTTTATTTCCATTATTATTACATTGTAATATATAATTAAATAATTATACAGCTCACCATAATGCAGAATCAGTGAGAGCCCTGAGCTTGTTTTCCTGCAACTAGTTGGTCCCATCTGGGGATGATGGGAGACAGTGACACCCGAAGTGTGTTGCTTATGTCCAGTCTACTCCATAAGATGCAGCTTAATTGTCACTTGCCACTCACTGATAGGACTTTTTTTTTTTAAAGAAATTTATATATTTATTTATTTTTGGCTGCATTGGATCTTCGTTGCTACGCATGGGCTTTCTCTAGTTGCGGCTAGTGGGGGCTACTCTTTGTTGTGGTGCACAGGCTTCTCATTGCGGTGGCTTCTCTTGTTGCAGAGCATGGGCTCTAGGGCACTTGGGCTTCAGTAGTTGTGGCGCATGGGCTTAGTTGCTCCGTGGCATGTGGGATCTTCCTGGACCAGGGCTTGAACCCGTGTCTCCTGCATTGGCAGGTGGATTCTCAACCACTGCGCCACCAGGGAAGCCCACTGATAGGTTTTTTCTTTTAATTAATTAATTAATTTGTTTTTATTTTTGGCTGTGTTGGGTCTTCGTTGCTGTGCATGGGCTTTCTCTAGTTGCGGCGAGCAGGGGCTACTCTTCGTTACGGTGCGCTGGCTTCTCATCGCAGTGGCTTCTCTTGTTGCAGAGTATGGGTTCTAGGGCACTTGGGCTTCAGTAGTTGTGGCGCATGGGCTTAGTTGCTCTGTGGCATGTGGGATCTTGCTGGGCCAGGGATCGAACCTGTGTCCGCTGCATTGGCAGGCAGATTCTCAACCGCTGCGCCACCAGGGAAGCCCACGGATAGGGTTTTGATATGAGTCTGCAGGCAGTTGATTTATTGTGGTCTCTGTGCAGTCAGACCTCTCTGCTAATGATGATCTGTATTTGCAGCCGCTCCCCAGCGCTAGCATCACCGCCTCAGCTCCCCCCCCAGATCATCAGGCATTAGATTCTCATAAGGAGCCCACAGCCTAGATCCCTCGCGCGCACTTCACAGTAGGCTTCGTGCTCCTATGAGAATCTAATGCGCTGCCGCTGATCTGACAGGAGGCGGAGCTCAGGTGGTAATGCGAGCGATGGGGAGTGGCTGTAAATACAGATGAAACGTCACTCGCTCACCCACCTTTCACCTCCTGCTGTGCAGCCCGGTTCCTAACAGGCCACAGACTGGTACCGATCCGATCCGTGGCCTGGGGGCTGGGGACCCCGATATACGGTAGGTGCATACTCCTTTGTGATGCTGGTCAGCAACAGCCGCGTGCCCAGGAGGGTAAACAACTGACACACAACCCATTCTGTGCCCATGCAAGCAATCTGTTTTTCACTTCCAGCACAGTATTCAATAAATGACATGAGATATTGAACACTTTATTATAAAACAGGCTTTGTGTTAGATGACATTGCTCAACTGTAGGCTAATGTAGGTGTTCTGAGCACATTTAAGGTAGGCTGGGTCAAGCTATGATGTTCCGTAGGTTAGGTGTATTAAATGCATTTTTTTAAAAAAATTTCCTTCCTTTTTATTGATTGATTGATTTTGGCTGTGTTGTGTCTTAGTTGCGGCACACGGGATCTTTCGTTGCGGTGGGAGGGCTCTTTGTTGCAAGGCGCAGGCTTCTCTCTAGCTGTGGCACGTGGGCTCAGTTGCCCTGCAGCATGTGGGATCTTAGTTTACTGACCAGGGATCAAACCCATGTCCCCTGCATTGGAAGGCAGATTCTTAACCACTGGACCACCAGGGAAGTACCTGCATTTTCAACTTATGACATTTTCAACTTACGGTATTTTCAACTTACGATGGGTTTATCAGGATATAACCCCATCAGAAGTTGCTGCGTGTAGCTGTATTTTGTCCTTTTTCATTGCCATGTAATATTCCATTGCGTGACCCATCAACTCTTTTCGCTATTCTCCTGCTGACAAATATTTGGATAGTTTCCAGTTCTCTGCTGCTATGAATAGTGCTCCATGAATATTCTGGCACATCTTTTGGGTGACTTCCACATAGTTAACAGCTCCCTAATGACTGTAGATCATCAGGGCTGGGTGGGCCCTCTGAGACCACTGGATCCAACTTTATCATATCAGGTGGGAAAGCTGAGGCCCAAGGAGGCCCAAGTCTGCCCAGTGATTTGGTGGGGAGTCTGGAATTCAGTGCTGGTCATATCTACACCAGGGACCCTTCCAATCTGCCATGCCACCCCCAGAATATCTGTGCTTAAAATCGTGGTCTCGAGAATCATCTTGGGCCTCACACTCTTACCCCACGCCTTCCATCTCCCCAGCAGTTCCTGCAGCCCCTCCTCCTGGTCCCAAAGTCCAGCCACCCCTGAGTCCGGAACCCACGGCCAGGGAGCCGGCCCACTCAGACGTCTTGGATGCTGCCTCCTCTTCCTCCTCTTCCTCTTGCCCACCCTGCTCCCCAGAGCCTGGGAGAGAGGCTCCAGGGCCTGAACCGGTGGCGGCTGCTGTGGAAAGTGGTGTGAGTGGGGAAGGCAGGAGCGAGAAGGGGCGCCTCTACTGCCCCACGTGTAAGGTGACCGTGAACTCCGCCTCCCAGCTTCAGGCTCACAACACAGGTCAGTGCGCCCCTCACCAGCTCGAGTCCCGGGGAGGAGATGGCCCTCAGCAGGTGTGGGCAGGCTAGAGCTTCTGGGCACTTTGCTGCAGGGCTAGGTGACAGAGGCGCTGTGCTCAGCTGTGGCTGGGTGGGCATTTCAGGTCCTCCCGGTAGTGCCTGAGGAGGGAGAGTCGGGGAGAGAAGTCAGGCAGCAAGAACTGGAGGGTCATCACTGAAGACAGGAGACACCCCCCCATCTCTCCTTGCATCAGACCCGAGGGAATTGGGTTGGAATGAGAGCCAAAGGGAAGCCGACCTGTTACTCAGCAACAAGGCCTTCCTTGGGGGATGCTGGCATGAAATGAGAACAGCCGGGAGGACCTTTGGGAGGGAAAGAGAAATCTCACATGGCTGGAGGGGCTGGCGGTGCTGAGCAGCCTGGAGGCTTCAGGGGCAGCCAAACTGACCTGGTTTGGAGGGGGTCTCCGTGGCCCCTGAAGCCCCTCTTTGGTGCTAGCAAGCTGTCTTCTTTCCTTCCTCCAGGAGCCAAGCACCGGTGGATGGTGGAAGGTCAGCGGGGCGCTCCCCGCAGGGGCAGGGGCCACGCAGTGCCCCGGGGAGGAGCTGGACACAAGGCCAAGAGAGTGACGGGGGTCCGCGGGGGCCGGCAGGGGCCCAGGCCCCCTTTCCACTGTGCTCTCTGTCAGCTCCAGGTCAATTCGGAGACCCAACTCAAGCAGGTGGGGCAAGTGCGGCTGGGATTGGGGGTGGAGCAGGGGTGAGGGGGGTGGGCCCAGTGCCAGGCCAGGAGGAGGGAGCCTGCGGGGAGGAGGTGGGTAGAGCAGAGCAGGGAGCAGTGGAGGAAGAGGTGCGAGGCTCCTGGAAGGCGAAGGCCAATTCTTAACCTCCCCTTCCCAGGGCCACTCCAGGGCCATGTGCATTAGGTGTGTGAATTGTGGGTAGAGGAAGGGTGAGCTAGCCGTAGTTTGGGGGTCCTTGGGTTCCTCATCTTGTTCCCAGTCTGTCTGTCTGTCCATTAGCACCTGAGCAGCAGGAGGCACAAAGACCGCCTGGCCGGGAAGCCCCCCAAGCCCTCCAGCCAGCACAGCAGGCTGCAGAAGCACGCAGCGCTGGCTGTGAGTATCCTCAAGGTATCTGTCTCCGGGCGACAGAGCTGGGACCCGGGTCCAGAGGGGAGAGGGTAAGGGGAGAGGGTAGGCCGGAAGGGAGGGCCAGCTGGGCGGCTGGGAGGAGGGGCAGGAAGGAAGCCACCCCCGTTGGAGGCTGCCTGGGGATCTGCTCAGAAACATTTCCGGGGGGAAGGTGGGCCCAGGTAGTAACCTCAGGGGCAACAGCGAGGCGTGGGCGTGCATCTCCCGGAGACCATCTCCACCCCCGCTCCCCATAGCCTCCTCCCTCGGCCCATCCTAAGATTCTCCTCCCTCCAGGCAGGAAGGCAGGTGGTGGAGAAAGCCCTTTGGAATGAATGTTTGGGGGTGGGAAGGGAGGAGGATTTGGGTTTGGAATCCTGACAGTCACGTTTCCCCCCCACTCCACAGCAAAAAGCCCAAGGAGGGGGCCCAGGGAGGGGACGGGATTTTCCTGGGGTCAGAGACTTGAGTCCTTTCCTCTCTTCTCTGCAGTCTAAACTGGCCTTGCAGAAGCAACTCACCAAGACGCTGGCAGCCCGCTTCCTGCCCAGCCCGATCCCCACCGCGGCGGCAACCATCTGTGCCCTCCCAGGGCCCCTGGCCCTCCGGCCTGCGCCTACGGCAGCCACCACCCTCTTCCCGCCTCCGATCCTGGGCCCAGCTCTGTTTCGCACCCCAGCAGGAGCCGTTCGCCCTGCCACGGGACCCATCGTCTTTGCCCCCTATTAGCCCTCCTGGGGAGCCCGGGGCTGATTTCCCAGCAGTTGCCCTCCCCCTCCTCCTCTCCCCAAGATGCCTCGGTTCCCTGCATCCCACAGGAGACTGCCTTTTACAGCCTAGGGGTTCCTGCCCAATCTAGGAAGAGCTGGGCTAATGCTAAGAGCCCTTCACTGAATCTGCACTGGGGATTCAACTAATGCCCCCCAGCCCGAGAACCATCCCTCTGCACCCTCCCTTCCCCAGGCCTCTAGGGCTAGCCCTGGGCTCCCCTCCATTTCCCATCCTGATTTATGGGGAACAAACTGGAAAATCCAAAGATCTATGCAGAATCCTAGCCCCAGCCCTGTGGTGCTCTCATTCTCCCACTCAAGACCTATACCCATGTGGCCGAGGTCCGAGGAATCTTACCTTTTCCTAGCCCGACCTCTATTCCCATGCCCTAGGGGCAGGGAGGGGAGGCCCTCCCCATTCACTGGATTCTCTAGAGAATCACTGGTGTTGAGGGGGCCGTCTCAAGGGAGAAGCTAAGGGGACAGTCACAGCCACCCCAACCACAGGGTCTCAAGATGGAGTGGGTTCAAGGTTACCTGGACGAGCTGACCATTGGGGATGTGGTGGAAGACTGTGGAGGAAGGGAGCAGTGCTAAGTGGGGCAAAGCCAAGGGGTGGCTGGAACTGCAAGCCTCCGGGGCTTTCCATCCGCTCTGACAGGAATGGGCTACGACGGGGAGGCCAGGGTAATGTGCTGGCCGGGCCCAGTTTTTAACAGAGGAAGTGCTCAGTCCCACACACGTTCTACTCTCTTAGCCTTTCATTGATTCCTCCTGAATCCCAGCTCTCGGGGCGGGGTGGGGGGAAGGGGGGGTGACACTGGGTCTCCCTCAGACTATGGGTCCAGCTAACACCGAATACCCCCAGGGCTCCCAAAGAGCTTTCCCTTCCAGCTCTCACCCCAAACTGGCCCCTAGCGCTCAATTCAGCTTTCCCTTCCCCCACGAGCACCCCAAGGCCCCCTCACTGTGACTCACCTGAGTATTGGGATCCGCTTGGAGCCACTCTCAAGACCCGTTTTCATGCTGTCAAAATTAATGTCATAACCTCCATCCCACCCGAGCAGCACTGCCACCCTCACCCCACAATATGGGACTTTGCCAGTATCCACCTGTATCTTTTTTAAAGCTGTTTCCAATGGGAGAACAAGAAAAAGGGGGGAGGGTGGGAAACTTTTTGATAACAGTTGTGGTTTTATTGTGTCCAACGCATCAATAAATCAATTTAAGCCCAAGCCTGTACACGCCCTAACTCGCCCAGCCTGGGCCACCTGACCCTGCTCACCTCTCCCATCTTGGGGAGAAGGGGCGTGTACTGAAGGTCACCTGGCTGTAGTGTCTTCACCTATGCTAGGTGTGTACATCAGAAGCACGAAGTGGGCACGGGAAGTTGTGGGTCACCAGCTCACTTTACAGCGTGTTGGAAGCGTAACCACCCTTCTGAGCCCCCAGAGATCTGGCAGCTCCTGAGAAGCTGCTGTTGGCCGGCTTTACTCTGTTCAGGCATCTGAGGTAAGAGGGGAGGGCTAGACGAGCACCTTGCCCAGCCTCCACCATGGCGGCAGGCATATAAACACAGGTAATCTATAAATAGAAGTCCAGCTATCAGCTGAAAACAACCACAGGAAAGGGTGACGACCAGTCCCCAGGGCTGTGAGGTCCGCGGATCGGGCACTGGGCAGCCACTCTGGCAACTAGAGTGGGTAGTGCACTCCTGCCCCCTGGTGGTTGGGGGGTGGGGAGCAGTGTCCCAGCCTCCAGGGCCACAGGCATAGCACCTTGAAACGGGAGAAGCTAAGGGAACAGTGCAGCCAGCCCAACCATGGGCAGTATACCCACAGGGCTGGAGAGGATCTAGATCATCTAAGCAACTGCCGTCACCTTACAGCTGAGAAAACTGAAGCCCCTAGAGGCGAAAGGCCTCGCAGGGCCACAAAGCCAGCTGGTGACTCCCAGCCCAGTCGGCATTCCATTCCACCTCAACCAAGAAAATGCTCCCTGAGCAGGAAGGGGAAGCAGGCAGCTGGGGGAAGAGTTGAAACAGAAGATTATGCTCCCAGCAGGCTAGCTTCTCTCAGCCCAGGAGAAGACAGGAGAGAGGTCAGGGTGTTGGATGAGGAGGCGCCCCGAACACCAGCACACACACGTGTGCACATCTACACACACACACACACAAACAAGACACCTGGATGCCCTTTCTCTAGAATCCAGGCTGGTGCCGTAAGCGTGTGAGTGTGTGTGTGTGAGATTGGCAGGAAACCCAGAGGTGTAAGACCCCTGCGATAGGAATCAGACCCTAGACTGGGCACTTCCACACACAGCTCTGCTTCCTGTCCAGGGCCGGCAGAAGGGACAGTGATCCAAAACCACTCTAGACCTGCTTAAAAGCAAAAACTGATCATGTCACTTCACTGGCATAAATCCTATCAATGGCTTTCCATTGCTGTTAGGATACAGCAGGATGGGGGCTGGGGGGCTTGGGGACCGCTAACCTAGACTATTTGCATTTCCCAGAGTTGGGAGGGAGCAAAAGTGACCTGAGCCTGGGACAGCCCAGCTGCCTGGCCTAGTGGGGAGCTCCCCCCTTGACTGGGAAGGACAGCTTGCCTAAAACCCCCCCTCCCTTTCCCCTCAACCCATCTTCCAGAGCTGGCAAGGCAGCTCTTCAGCCATCCAAGGAGCCGCTGCCCTTGTTCTTGCGGCTGAGGGGGAAGGCAGACTTGCTCTGGGGCTGGGTCATCCTGCTGGCCAGGTAGACGAAGGGCTCCAGCAGTGAACGGCGGTCAGCCACCGACACCTCCCAAAGCTTCACCTTCTCTGACTTGGCCCAGTGCTGAGCCACATCCGGGTCTACACGCCGCTGCTCCTGCAGGTCACACTTGTTGCCGAGGACCACGATGGTGACCTGGGGAAGAGGGACAGAGTAGAGGCCTGTGGCTGTAGCATGGACCTCAGGAATGGTCGTGAGGGCCAGTGACCACCTTGGGCTTGTAATGGAACGCCTGGAGGGGGTGCCAGATGGAGGCCAGAATTTGAACAGAGGGAGGAGAGGAAAAAGCAACCATTTCCACCTCGGAGTCCTAGGAGAGGGAAAGTCTCAACGGCTGATGTCTCATCTCTTCCTGTATTAGAAACTGTGGACGGGGGCCTCCATCTGGAGGAGTTCCATTACAAGCCCTGTGTCACCAATGCCTGATCATTACTGGCAGTCAGTTAGTTGTTGGCAAAGTAACCGGTGAGGAAGCGCTCCCAGAATGCCTGCAGCTTAAAGCGGGATCTGAGAACAAAAGGGCCTTCACAGGGGAGACCACAGAACCATTATAAAGAAAGACTAGTGGGGACGTCTTAAACTGGAGAAGCCTCTTTGGTAGAGCTGCCTCAACATACGGCCACCTCTAGGAGTGAAGACACCCTCCAGTGGCCTCCATCTCCGCCCTCCAGCTCTAAACCCACGTCCTGGCAAATCAGTGAAAAACAGAGCCTTTCCAGGCCTCCCAAAGCCAGCCCAGGGCCCACTCTCTCTCATCACCAGGGTTCCCACACACACCTCCTTCTTGTCTTTGGATTTGTCAATCTCCTTCTTGAGCAGCTCCACGCGCTGAAAGGACTCTCGGCTGTCCGTGCTGTAGACTAGGACGTAGCCGTCAGTGCAGGAGAAGCAGTGCCGGGGCAACTCAGCCCCATCTCGGAGCCCCCGGGTGTCGTAGAAACGCACCTGCTCCCGCACCCCCCGGTCAGTCTCAATGGAGCCCACGTAGATGTCCTCCTGCGTCTCAATCATCTCAGAACCTGGGACAAAATGAGGAGAAAACTTGTTTCTAGGGAGAAAAGAGATTGGGAACATGAGTGACTGAATATATCCTAACAGGCCAACCAGACAGGGAGAGAAAGGTACATGGGGGCTGAGGAGAGAGGGCCAAAGACTGCGAGTCTGGCCAGACTGGAATAACTTGGGGGGACAGCTCTAATCTCACGGTGATACCTTGCTAAACACAGTGTGACGCGGAAGTTTTTCCTTCCTATCTCGGACATTGGGTTTTCTCTTTCCAGATGTCCTCAGTGTTGTAGAGTTGGGATCTTTCGGTGTAATGACCAGCAGCAGCGACCTTTAGCCTTTTCGTGTTGTGATCAAATCCTCTCCTCATTCTTCCACTTCCTCCACCATGCCTCACGCCCAGCAACACTCACCCACTACGTGGTTTCCGTACAGAAGCTGCTCCAGAATTGAAGTTTTGCCCACAGAAGCCTGGCCACACACGACCACCTTGCAGCTCTTCCCCATGCTTAGCTTTCAACCTTGAAGAACGGAAGCACACTGGGTGAGGCAGGATCAAAACCAAGGGCAAACTTCCCTTGACTGAGGACGCAAGTTCTGAAGTGGATGCATGGCCTCAGGGGTTCGGCCCTGTCTGCTACCCTAGGCAGGGTGTACTAAAGTGATGTGTCTATATCCACTACTGGACAGTTAGCTGTATATTATTCATCTTATTCCCAGTACGAGGCCAGTAACTGGCGCAGAGCAGGTGCTCGGTAAGCATTGCCATAAAGGGGGAAAAGAGTCGCTGGTTTAAAGGAACCACTAGCCAGGTTCCTTTCTGTGCACAGGATGTGGAGGACCAGTTGCTGAAGGGAGCTCTGGCTCAGCTCCCTCTCTTTAACCATGACCCCATGGAGAAATAGGCAGGACTATTATTTTGTGTGCATCTGTCTTATACCACTCTTCCTGGGGAGAATGGACAATTAGGAAGAACATTTTGCTTTCCCGTATGGCTTATCCAGACAATTAGTTCCCTCGAATTCCCAGTCAAGGCCATGGCTCAGATGAAAAAGACAGAAACAAAAGAGTGAAGGAATCTAAGGAAAAAAACGCTTCAGAAAAAAGAATAATTTTGTTTCTCTTGAACTGACAAACCCAGATAAGGCCTAGACACAGAAATCCCTTCTCTGTTTGGAGGTCCCAAACAGATATCTCCTCGAAGGCATCCCAAACACAGGCTTCCCAGAAGGAGCCCCAGACGAGGATTCCGCCCCCGCCAGAGGAGAGATACAGAGATCACTCCCCAAAGGGATCTTAAACAGAAACCTCTCCAAAGTAAACTCTTAGTACAGATCCCCCTCCCCGCGAGGGGCCTCATATAGTGAGCCCCGAAATTAAGGGATACCCCGACTGCTAGGCGGGCCTCCGGAACAGAATTCCCCACGAGAGGGCTCCCAGAGGGAATCGGAATCCTGCCACCTAAAGGGTCCAGAAGCAGTGGTCGATCCCGGCCTCCCAGCTCCGTACCTCCTGGGGCCCTAGCAGCAGCCCGGCCGGGCCCCTCTACGCGCGCCGGGACCAGGGGTGGGGCAGCACGGCCGCAAACACTCGGATCTTCCTCCGGGTCCTTCCGGGCTCCGTCTGGCCCCGCCCCGTAGCTTCCATCCTGCAAGACCTATTTTGGCGGAGGAGAGCCGGCGCCAGCCGAACAGCGCCTCCAGAGGCCGGCGGGGAAATGACGGCCGGGACCTGGGCTGAATGGTCTCCAGAGCACAGGGTTCTAGGCTCCCTAGACCGGCCGGCTGTTTTGGTGCCTCAGATGCCCATATGTTCTTTCTCTAAAGGCTACTACAGTAACACTTTGTTTACTCAGTCATTTATTCATCCAATGTCTTCTGAGCTCCTACTCTGTGCCAGGTACAGGACCACGTGCTGAGAAAAAGCGGAGGAATTAGACACCGTTGCCGCCCATTAGAACGTCACCATCTAGAGGAGCTAGACATCTAAACCAATAATTACAGTACAGCATGGTAAGAACTATTACAGAGGTGCTATGGGAGCACAACTAAGGGCATTTAACTTGGGGGCAGTGGGCATCACATTCTCCGAGGAACCTTCCTAGAGGAGGTCAGGTCTGTGTTGAAGTTTGAAGGGTGTGGGAGGAAAGGGTGGAGGAAATACGGCAAGAGTCATGGCATTTACTGGAACTACAAGTATTTGGGTTCATTACTGATGGTAGAAAGGAGCCAAATAATCAAAGGCCTGTGTGCTGGCCAAAGAGTTCAAACTGTATCCTAACAGCAGTGGAAAGCCATTGATACGACTTATGCCAGCGAAGTGACATGATCAGTTTTTGCTTTTAAGTGGATCACTCTGGTAGAAGAGTGAAGGTTGGAGAGAGGTGAGACTTGGGGTTAGTTAGACTATGGTAGTATTCCAAGTTTTCCAAAAAATGATGAGAATCTGAATTGGGATGGAAAGGAGATAGATTTGGGAGACATTTGGTAAGAGAATCAACAACACTTGGTGATAACTTGGGAGTTTTAGATGCCGAGAACACAAAGGAGGAAGATGGTTAAAGACAGATGGGCCTCCTGTATTAGACTGTAGACCGTGAGCCATTGGCAAGCAGGTTAGATGGTCTGAGTCTGCGCTTTCCCAACCCAGCACAAAGTAGGTACTTTGGAGAGGGCTGTTGAATGACTGGCTGGCTGAATGACTTCTCTCTTCCAAACCCCTGAGCCTCTCCCATCTTCCACTCCCCAGTGTTAGGTGTGATCTCAGCTCCCTCAGCACTGTGATAGGAAGAACCATGCAAGCGTCCTATGGACAATGGCACAGACTGTTTTACTGCAGAAGCAAGCAAGGGCGTCAGGGGTCTGGGGGGCGGGGTAAATCCTTTTAAAATTCTCTTGACCCATTCTTATTTTAGTACCCTTTAACTTTAAAAATTTAACCTCAAACTCCCCCAGTTTAACCTCAGGAAACCCCTATTTAACTCAAGTCCACAAAAATTACTGGTTTGGGTGAAAGGAAATACTACGAAGGGCTGTGTCCTTGCCCTCTCTGAGTTCCCAATCCAGACTGCAATCGGCAAGACAAGCGTGCTGAGCACAGAGTTTATATGAGGGTTGGGAGCACTGAGGACCCTGTACAGCAGGGACCTCACCCCGCGAGCTACCTTATAAACTCCAGGGCAGGGTCTGGGGCCCTGTGCCACCCTCCCTAGGCTTAATGCTGAGGTGGCATTCCCAGGCGGCTGACATGAAAGCAGCCTCATAAAAAAGTCAGCGTCATTAGGGTGATGAACGAGTTGGTGCTTGGAGATCCGGAGGGGATGAAAGGCGTGGTGTGAAGACGCCCTGCGTTCCCCTGGCTTGGTTGGTCAGGGCTTCCAGGGGCCGATGAACGCTGAGGAAACTGGATTCAGAGTGTCTCTTCTTGCCTTTCGCGGGAGGAAGCTGTGGACAAACTCCAAGGTCGGGAAGGTGGTAGTGGGGGGCACTTTCTCTCCAGGGTACAGGGTCACCGCGTCTCTACCCAACTCAGACTCCCTGAGCCTCACAGGAGACTCTCTAGGATTGGAAGTTGTTATGGCAACGAGGCTCTCAGAATACTGAGGAAAGCCAAAGCCTAGAGAGCCGACACCCTCCTGTATTCCCCCTTCCGACCCACGGGTAAAGTGGCGCCTCCTACGCACAGAAACCGTCCTTGGGCCCCCGCTCCGGCGAGGAGACCACCCTGGACCTCCGGGGGCGGGAGGCCGCTCTGGCCCCAATCAGGGCCTCTCGCTGGTAGACGGGCCCGAGGTAGCCCCTCTGGGCGCAGCGCCGCCGAGCTGCTCGATGCTCCGACCGGAAGTGCTCTTCACCGCCGACCTCCCACCCGGCTCTCTGGTCCCGGCGGTAAGATGGCGGCTGCCGCGGAGTGCGATGTGGTAATGGCGGCGACCGAGCCAGAGCTGCTAGACGACGAGGAAGCGAAGAGGTAAGCGGGTGGCAGGGTAGGGGAAGGGGCGATCTTCAGCTCCATGGCTCCGGTAACCCCGTCTTTGCCGTGGTGCAGGCCCTACAGAGGCAATGCCCCGCCCTCCGAGAAGCCCCCCTCCCCCATCTGAGATCGAGTCCGGATGGACCCCCTGAAGGGGCGCTCTCGGAGGTTTGCCCTCCTCTCCTGCTTCCGCCTGGCTGAGGAGCTGAGGCATGGCGTTGTTGCCCAGCAGAGAGGAAGGTTGTCCTCATTGTAGAGGCCGGGTCTCTAAGGGGGTCTCGGAGGTCTGTTGCGGGGGGGGGGGGTGGCGGCGCGGCTGTGATGACGCCTTCTTACATCGCCCCCGACCCCTTCCTTCTCTTGTTAACTTCTGTATTTTGTGTCTCAGCCCTTTGCATCTCCGAAACTCTTGCTGTCCTCACTTCCTTTCCTCAGTAATTATACCCCAGCGAGCGCTAGTCTGGGCCCGAGGTATTGTGTGTCTCCGTTATTGACCTGGTGGTCCCTCGGTTACCCCAGAAGTCTAAGGTGATAGAGAAAGAAGGGTGAGGGGTTTTGTCTCGTGCTCCACACGTCAAACCCTCTCCTTCCACCCTTTCTAAGGTCATTCTTTCAGGGCTGTTTCTTAAATTAAGCAGCAAGGAGGAGGGCAGCTGCTTGGGCGCTGTTGGCTCTGCTGGGCAGCCGCAGTGGCTCGAGATTGCCAGTCCGGACTCGGCAAGGGAGCTGCAGAGTGAGTGGTTTTCGAGAACGCTCTGGATTTTGGCTACAGCTAAGGCAGGTTATTGGAAGTGGGGTTGGAACACAGTTGTGGGTAGTCATACTTGTCCTAATTCTGGAGCAGAATTAACGAAAAGCTTCTGGAAGTTTGGAGCCCTGTCCTCGTCAACCGCAGGTTAACTGACTACAATTCTCTCAGTCTCCTTCCCACATATTTCATGTCTTTATACCAAGCCCATTATGGTTTCAGTCTGGAGGATTCGAGGTGGTGATTAGTTCATGAGATCTGAAATCAGGATTCCGAGAATTTTTACCTTTTTTAACTGTCTAGGTTTGAAACATCAGAGGTATTCAGGGAGGCAGAATGAATAGTTATCAAGCTTAAGGGTAGTTACTATGGCCAGTGTCCCAGGTTCCTGATCTGTTGCGAGCAGGAGCTGAGAGCCTTGACAAAGTGTAATAGGTCCCTGGAATATCAGAGAAGGCAGGAAACCAGAGCCTAGTCTCTGTCTGTTCCTGGTTTTGGGGTTTCACAAACCAGTTCTTTCCAGGTGTTTAGAATTAAGCATCATTAAGGAACTGCAAAACAGGACACAAAACTCCCACCAATACAGGCAGAACTTAAATTAATTGTAGGGATTTACTTTACTTGTGTTTGGAAGGAGTTCAGTGGTTCTTTGTGCTGTAAATAGGGAGTTGGGCTATATGTAATTTAAAATAAACTCAGCCTACTTAGTATAAATCTCTGACATAGGCACTGTCCTTAATTTGAGTTTCCCTTCAAAGTTCCTATGTAAAGCAAATTTTTTTCCTTAAAACAAAATCAGCCCTTTTATGATATTCTATCATAAAAAAACATAAAACAGGTGATGCCGTAATGTGACCACATCAGACACACAAAAAAGTATGGTATTTGGTAGCAGTAAACAGAATAAGGGAGGGTGTTGACTGATGTTAACTGCCTTATTTCATGGAGTTTTAAGATGTCATTGGTTGTAAAATGCACGATTGTTTTCTCTGCCACTAAGAAAAAAACTATAACTGAAAAACGCGTTCTTATGAAATAGACTTATATGTAAAACATACACAGATCTTTTTTAGACATAATAAAATGTAAATGTTTATTGTATACCACTTATGTGAAAAAATCAAAAGGAAAATACCGTGAAATAAAAATATCACCATTTGACTTTCCGCCATATAAGGCATCCTTAGGAGGGTAAATACTGGGCTCTGTTAGTAAGAAAAAGCCTTGTTTACGTGTAGCTTTCCAAGGCTGAAAATGGAGTGGTGACTTAGAAGTTTTGGAGGAAGATTGTTTTACATTTTTCACATATCCTGGAATCCTCCTGTGTAGCCACAGCAGAGGGCAGGGATAGGCACATCTCTTACAAATGCCCTTTACTATCTGACTTGGTTAGTTATTAGGCCAAGTTCGTGTCTCTTGTTACAGTCCTACTCCTAGTTCACTTGGGGACACAGGAGTTGATGGGTCTCGGGTTGTTTTTGTAAAGTCCAGCAAGGAGTCCTTCTTTGCATCGTGGCCCAAGGGCATCCTGCTGCTGCTGCTGCTGAATTGTCACAGTCCCACGGCGGGGGGGGGGGGGCGGGCACAGTGAGAGGAACTTTCAAGAAGTTGGACCTCATGGTTGTAGCATTTTAAATGGCTACATGTTTTATTTCCTTAGCATTAGAGTCTCTACAGAAAAAGAAATGGACTCCAGTTTTTTTGCCTGTCATTCTGGACAAAGTTCTTTTTCCCTTATAGCAGCTGAGAAGCTAAAATAAAAGATGTGTTATTTGGCACTCCAAAATAGATCAGGGTTCTGGACATGGAGATTATTATTTCTCTTTGCCCACCAGAATAGATAAAGCTGCTTGGGGAGCCAGAGGACTAAATTTCAGAGGTTTTACATTTCAGCTAATTTAAAAACTTACATTTTCCTGGGAAGTTGCTGATTGTTTTACCTAATACATGAATGCCTGTCTTGAGTGAGGGCTGTCTGGTTGTATTTCCTGGACTGGGGAGTAGTTTGGTCTCCGTAGGTGGTCTTTATTATGGTAAAATCGAAGGATTTCAAGTTGCTAATCAACAGAGGAAGTACTTCTGTGTCTCAGCATATATCTGGCCTGACTGGGCAGTGAGGTCCAAAAGAACCAATGGGAGCGATCGACTTAGGAGCCAAGGGCATCCTTACCTGATTCCTTGGGCTGATAATCTTAACTTCTCAGTGTCTGTTTTCCTGGTGGAGGAGAGCAAGAACAATTATTAGTAGGCCCTTTCTTAGTACCTAGGTATTGTAAACTCTTTTGGGATTTTGCCTTTTATTTTTCTATGAATATTGTTGGTGGGAAGCACTGAACCCTGAATCCATATCCCGGGGGCTGCTGTAGTTGCTATTAACTGCAGCTTCTTGGGGTGTTTTGGAGTTTGTGGCCTTAACTGCAGAGCTTGTGGGGTTACTTTTCCCCCTTCTTCCCCACTCTGTTTCAAATTCTTAGGTTTGTGTCCCCCTAAACTTTCTCTTGAAGTTCCAAGGCAGGCAGCTAGACAAAGCCTGCAAACTGAATGGGAATTTATCTTTGACCTGGAGCCCAAATCAGTGAGAAACACTGCTTTCAGCCTTCACTTTCATTTTGGTATGCTTTAATTGTGGGGTCAGAGATGAAGAAGTGGGACAAATAAGTCACGGTTAAGGAAGGGATAAAGCTAGGAATACAGAATCCTGAATACCAGCAAATAATTGATTGAATTGAACCCTGGTATTAACAAGTGGCAAAACTGTTAAATAGTCTTTACTGGAGCAAAGGTAGAGCACAGAGAAAGGGTCTCTCTGTTCCTTGCTGGTTTAATTCAGATTCATGTATTAACTGAAGCCAGGTAAATTGAGCGATTTTAATAAAATGTTGGGCCAAGTGAGTGGCAGTTGCTGTAGTGTCTAGTTCATTCCCAACAACCAGAACTCTGATTGGCTTAAAGATCAGCCTTATTGTACATTCCAACCAATCAGGAATTGGTTTAGTTTTTGAAGGTAGTATTTTTTAAGTTTTTAAAAGCTGCATACTGGGCACTTGCCTTTGCTTTCTTTCTCTAGGACTTTAGAAGATTGGAGAACAATGGTCAGTGGCTGCCTAGGTGCCTTGTGGTCTGCAAAGTCTCTGAGAGCCCATTTCTCCCTTACTCCACTAATGTTTGGTCCCCTTTCTCCAGTGCTGAGTGATGTGGAAGTTACTTAGAGGTCGTTCCAGGTATTCTTTTAAATTGTCTGGATTTCAGCAGTAAGAACAGGATTCAGCATGCAAGTTTTTCCAGTAGTTTATTCATTTTATTGGATTAACAGTTTTTTTCTTTCCCATGCAGATCCAAACAGCAGTTTCTATGTTTATCTCACCATGGCAGGGGTATGCGTGATTGAGGCTTTTGAGAATGGTAATATGATCAGGAATATTTGACTTTCAGAGTCTGATTCTGAGACCTAATACTCTGTTGGCCTATGATTTTGTGTGGGGTGGCCAGATTGTCAGATAAGCAAAGTGTTAACTGTCTTTTCTGATTCTAATATTAGGCTTTCCGGGAGGGTGTGTGAGACAAGCAGGGCTCTCTCTCATTAGAGTTTCTGTCCTGAGAATTCTGCCTCGGGCAGTTTGCTCTGAGACAGTCAACCACCTGATGAGCTAAAGAACCACAAAAACTTGGGAAGCAAAATAACAGTTGACAGTGTAGACTTCTGACTCTAGTTCCCATCTCCATCTCCCCCCCTCTTTCCCCACCCCCACCAAAAAAAAAAACAACCAAAAAAACTCAGAAAGCAACCTTTTTCCTAATTATAGTTCCTCAGTTCTAGATTTTTTTTTTTTTTTTTTGGCCACACCACATGGCTTGTGGGATCTTAGTTCCCTGACTAGGGATCAAACCCGGGCCCTCAGGTGTGAAAGCACAGAGTCCTAACGACTTGACCGCCAGGGAATTCCCCAGTTCTAGATTTTTGATGAGTGCTAGTGTCCCTGTGAGGGTAGTGGGAGATGTCACAGAATGGGAAACCAAGGGATAGAAAATGGTGGGTTTGGGGAGGTATTATGAAAACAAGTCTCTGGCTAATGCCAAAAAGCCAGTGGCTTGTGTCCTCAGAGTAGCTTCTGAGCAGCTTATTTCTCAGAAGCAACTTCTTGGTTGTGTCTCCTGTCCCCAGGGGTAAATGAAGGTTAGGTAGATGCCACAGATTTTGACACCTCCCATTTAAGGAACTAGCAGAAGTTTTTAACACAGTTGAGGCTGCTATTTCTGTGTGAATATCCTTCTGCCTGCAATGATGGAATTTCCGTCCGGATTGCTTGCTTGCTTGCTTGCTCTTTTTCCCCACTGAATAAGACAGCCACCTCCAGTGCATTGCCTGGTGTCCTTCCCTACTTGAGCAGTAGAGAGAGCTGCTGCCTTGTGTAGTCTGTATCTGTGACTGCACTTGGTGCCTTTTGGTCTCTTCTGGCTCTGCCCCTGTTGAGATTCCCTGAGTGTCCAGACGGAGGACAGTTTGAAGTGGAATATTTTTTTCATCTTCATCTCCTTCTCTTTGTGGGGGGAGGGTGGGTGTTTTAACTGGGCTTTTAAGTGAAAGCAGAAGCTGCCTATTCTATAGGAAATTGGGTAAAGGAAGCTGGGTAGCCCACCCTTACCAACAGGTAGAAGTTGGATAGAGTCCACCCTCTATTTTCTCTGGACCTTTATGAAGCCTTTATTTGCTCTCAACATCTAGCGCCTTGCATTTTAGCAAACACTCTGTCTGTGGAATTGTTCCCGCTCATATATGGCTTCCACCTATCCATGTGAAACTTAAATTGTTAGAGGATAAAAAAGAAAGAAATCGAATAATATGCATTTGGTAAGATGGAGTAAAAGGCTTCTGGGCTCCTTTACTTTACTCTCTCATGAAGGTCAGAGAGAGTACAACATGAAACAGGCCCTGTGACATGCCTTTGGGGACAAGAGGTCTTGTACTGTGGGAAGGAGCAAGGAATTTCTACTCTGAGACTGGCCAAGATCCTGTAAATTCTGAAGGGTGGAGGGCATTCCTTCATCAACGGGCAACTAGTAAATTTGAATAAAAGAAATGGGTGCAACAATCTAGAGTAAGGGTGACATTTTGGAAGTAGTAAATATAATAGGAATGCATAAAGGATATTTGACTGGTTGGCAGTATAAAGTATTATTATTAAAGACCTGAGGGTAAAAAAAGGAAAGATATCTTTCTTTAAAGTTCTTCCTGCCAGTAAAATAGTCTGCAGGTCAGAGGCCCCTAAACGCTCCTCTGCTCTCACAAGAAATCACGTTGTCCTGAGTTGTAATTTTAGTAGATTTCTCTTCCACTTCTGGAGTAGCAGACTACATCAAGAAAATGCAAAGAAAAAGAAAAAAAAGATCTCATTCAAGCTGCTACGTCTGTTTTGATTTAAACTGGTATTAATGGCTGTTGGAAGAGCGGAACTTTATTAAAAATACATTATTCTAGCCAAATACTTGAAATAAATAAGAGTACTGTGGTTCACCCCCCCGCTTCCCCCCCTGCCCTTGGTCATTCAAAAATCTAATCAGTATTTCCTCAGTTGCAAATGTAGAATAGTGAAGCCATGTTAGTCTTTATTTTTCATGCAGTGGGGTAGAATAAATCTAAAAATGGTACATTACACATATACATGTGAAGTAATTCCAGAGAGAACCCAGAGATGTTGAGACGTTTTTTAAAAAAATACTTGCCAGTGAATCCTGCATTAGTGAGAGTTGAGTAAAGTTTCTAAATACCTCTTTAATTTCTAGAAGATAGACTAGTTGGCCTAACGCAAAGATATTGCTTAAGGTTCAACTTGGAAGTATTTAGAGAGACAATGGAAGTTTTTATAGAGCATCTAATTTGGGGCACATTACGATTTCAACTGTGGTGTTTTAATTTGTTTTTAATTAATCTGTAAATGTGCAAAGTTGGCTGGTGATCATAAGCCCAAGTTGTCTGATTTGATCACATGATGCTGAGCCCTGCTAAGACCTGTGTGATACCAAATGATTCCCTTGGCAGTGTTTGTTGGAGTAATTAGCATCTGTGATGAATGAGTGCTAAATTGGGAGAGAGAATGGAACTGTGTGATCAGAGGATATACAGATTTTTCACGCACATGTAGTGTTAGAAGAGCAGGTTTTCATACTGCAGGTTTTCATACTGCAGTTTTCTGAAAAATAAATACATTTCAAAATAGCAAAGCAGAGCAAGAGTAGAATGTATTCTCCTTACCTACGTCTGTCAGAGAGAAGGCCGGCCTGGCCCTCTGACACTGATCCCGTTGTGGGACACCCTCCCATCATACATCCAAAGAGGGCAGAGTTTTTGGAAAACCTTTCATGAGCTGTTTTCACAGGAATTTGTTGCTGGCTATTCAAGTGAAAGGACTGGTCTGGTAGAGGTAGTCATTCCCGGCATCTCTTGGTGAATCAGAGAAGTGAAGCTTTTTCTGCTTAGAGGTGATCCAAGGATTGGGTGGGGAACTGGATAAATTAGTTTTAATCCAAAAACCTTGCCACTCACAGGATCTAGCGGGGAAAACATGGGACTCTACGATTTAGGAAACCTGTGCAGCCACCTTGGGTGCCTCACTAGCTCTTCGTCTGTTGGAGGACACGTGATATTATCACCATCACCACTTCAGAAGGCCGTTGTGAAGACCCTCATTGGAAATGTTTTGAAAATTTGAAAATGCACTAGAGATACAGTCTCTGTTAATAGTGTCATCGGGTCAGTTATGGCCAAGTCTATATTTTGATGTGGTGCTGTATTTCAGGGTTTAGTCTGCATTTTATTTTGTGGCCACAGAAAATAGTCTGTAGTTTAATGTAGTCCCTTTTGGAATCTGTTCCTTTTTTTTACCTAATCCAGGTGAACTCAGTTAATCCTAATTCTTCCTCTCTTAGTACTGATGTGTTTTAGTTAGGTACATGTTGTAACCTCACTTGGTTCTCAAATGAATTGACTGGCAGTGAGTGGAGTGACAGATGCCACCGCCAGATTGCCCTCAATTCCAGTGTTAACCAGCTCTTCTCCTTCTTTTCCAGTCCTACGCCTTTGACATCTCATCCTTCAGTCCCTTTGCTGTAAGGGCAACTTGAACAAGCTTCAGCCCTTTCTCAGACTCCCAGGCAGGACTTGAATGGATTTGACCCTGGAATTGTTCCTGATGCAGCCTTGTTCAGTTCTTGCTGCTGCCATGCTGGATTCCAAAGATCCACTCTTTCCTCGGCTGGTCTCGCAGGGTCAGGCCCATTGGTTAAAGCTTGTTGTGTATTTGGTGGGGAGGTTCAAGATGACGGAGGGACTCCACTTTGGGCGTTGGACCTGGAGGCAAAAAATAAGCATTCAGTCTAAAAGCACTAAGTGCCCATTGTTTAGGCAGCTGTTAATCAACCATGTTTCTATGAAAATAAGTCCTTTTCATGAGGCAGTTGTGTGGGAATAGCTAATTCTGGCCTGATGCTGTGCAGTGTGAGGTTAAAAACATGGTAACGTGTCACAACACAATTCTTCTTGTTCTTTTCTGCTGTGGGCTGACTCTACATTACTCGCTTTGTTTGCTCTAGAATGGAATCTACTCACCATTTACTAAAATGAAATGCATTTCTTGGGGGAGGCAAAGTCCAGTTCACTAGGTCTTGCATCTTAAAGGGAAAGGAGCCTTACTCTGTCTGTGACTGATTGTTAGGAATGTCATTTGGCTTGTTTAAATCCAGGTTGCAGTTCTGGAGTTGGATTTTATACGCTGGGCAGTTTTGTGTTTTAGTTGAAAGAAATTCATATTCATTGTTCTTAGCAGTACAGATTAATTTTTAAAGTCTTAGGCAATAGGTAGAGGTGAGTATTAGAGAGAGCTTAGCATAGTAGATAGGGCACAGCTCTGGGATCTGCAGGTCTGGGTTGACACCCTGACCCTCTGGACAGTTTTTAATCTCTAACCCTTAATTTCCTCTGTTGAAAAATGGCAATAATGAAACTCACCTGATAAGATACTGTATGGAAAGTACCTGGCCTCAGTAATAATTACTGATTTTCCACAGAAGTCATCCTTTACATTTTTGCTGGAAAGCCAATGCTGAACTTGTGGCCTCCACTGGAGTGAGTGTTTCAGGAAAGAAAGGGTATCTCTCTCTATTTCTACAGATTGTCCCCCCTTTGACTCACAAGCTTTATATGCTGATACAACGTCTATCCAAGTGCTCAGATGCCTTTGGTTTTCCTCAAGGATTTGTGTGGTCTTAGCCACTAGCTGACTGAATAGAAGGCTAGATCTTTTCAGGTACAGTTTGGGCCTGTTGCTTTTGAATTTACTACTCCATTTCTTCATAGTGCTTTAATTCAACTTCTGACATCCTGTGTTGGGGAAGCCCCTTCTTCAAATCTTTTGGCATGTCTGCTCTTAAAGGATAGGTTCTTCATAGTTCTTATAGTGCCTGGCTTAATTTAGAGTTGTTCAGCATGTGGAAAGATTGTGCTTGGTCTTATAAGTCTTGCAGTTGGGGGATCCTTCTTGAGAACTTTTAATAGCAGATGGCCTCTTTACATCATTGTGACAGTTGGTATAATAAAATTATTCAAATCCATCACAGTTCAAATCTGTCATCATTTATAGGTCATTTCCACTTTCCTTCTCCCTTTTTTTTGGCCATGCCACACAGCTTGTGGGATCTTAGTTCCCCGACCAGGGATCGAACCCAGGCCCCCTCAGTGAAAGCGCCGAGTCCTAACCACTGGACCACTAGGGAAATCCCCCATTTTCCGTCTCCTTTCTGCTAGCAGACTTTTGTTGTTAATAGGGCTTGCCAAGACAGTGATGGAGAAGAATGGAAAGGGAGATCGCCTCAATAAAAGGAGGGTGGTTTTGCCAGTTTGTAGTTTAAAATACGTGAGTAAATAAAATCACAAATCTTCCCATTGCCGATGTCCATGGAATCAAGCTGTAAACTCCTATACCATCACCAAGGTTAAGAACTGTATTTTTGTCCCCACTTCAGGCAGCCCTTGAACTGGGCTTTTAGCATGCGTGGAGGACAGAAAAAGAAACAAAGATTCTTCCTTATAACAGAAATGCCAGATATTTAGCTATGTTGCAGTAATCATTTTGGTAAGGAATTATCTTTGTCACTCAAGTTGGTCATTAGAGTGATTTTGGGTATCTCTGATAGAGGTTACAAGTTTGTTCTTTGAGACATTGTTGGTCATGTCTGAATTGATTCTAGTTCTTTGGTCAAGAATATAATTTGCAATTATATATCATTGTTTCTTTTGGAAAGTACAGTTTGTCTCATGCACAGCTTCAAAAAAATGGATCTTGGAGTAGGGCAAAATTTTTGATATTCATAACCACGCCATTGGGTGGTTATACAAAGTACTAGAGGGATGGTTGAGGAGGCAGTTAAGTATCCACATAGATGTGATGGGCGGAGAGCATCAGTAGGTGGGTACTTGTTAGAGCATGGCACTGGCAGTCTATATTTTGTATGTCCCTGTCATCGAAGTTCTTGGTCTCTGCTGTCACTCAACTCTGTCCTCCATCTTAAACACCAATATGCTGTGCTTTTAACACCTTTGCCACCTGCTTTTGCTCTGCTTGTCCTTCCAGTGACAAATGCATGAGCCAGTTTTCAAGAGAATAAATCATTAAAACTCCAAGAATATGACCCATTTCACATTGAGAAATCAGTTGCCCCTGAACGGCATTACCTATAACTGACTTTCTGTAAGTTTGCTAAAGAGGCAGAAGTTGTGACACAGTGGAAAGGAAATAAATATAAAAATTCCGTCTCTGTGAGAGAATGTCTAAATTTGCCTGTCCTAAAGGGGAATGATTACAGGTAGGAGTAGTGAGGAAAGGTCAGGTGACATCAGAGAGGTTTCTTGATTTAGTTTGAATGTATCTAAGTGACAAAAAATAGCATCTGAAGAACTTGGATTCGTTCATTAGCACCTCCTTTTGGTCCATCAGCCCATCAAACAAATCTATAAATTCCTTCAAGTATCACATAAACTTTCAGCTCAATGTGCTGGGGGCTCTAGACCAAAAGATTGTTCCCGTGAGATTACAGGGGTTATTCCCTCGGTATAGTAACATGATTCTCTTTCTCTTTCCTTTTCAGGGAAGCAGAGTCTTTCAAGGAACAAGGAAATGCATACTATGCCAAGAAAGATTACAATGAAGCTTATAACTATTATACAAAAGCCATAGGTGAGAAGGGATACACTGGAAAATAATTTGCCAAATGTTGTTGTTGTTTTAAATTTTTATTTATTTAATTTTTTGGCTGCGTTGTGTCTTCATTGCGCACGGGCTTTCTCCAGTTGCGGCAAGTGGGGGCTGCTCTTCGCTGCGGTGTGCCGGCTTCTCATTGCGGTGGCTTCTCTTGTTGCGGAGCACGGGCTCTAGGCGCCCGGGCTTCAGTAGTTGCGGCACATGGGCTCAGTAATTGTGGCTCGAGGGCTCTAGAGCGCAGAGTCAGTAGTTGTGGTGCACGGGTTTAGTTGCTCCGCGGCATGTGGGATCTTCCCAGACCCTTCCCGGACCAGGGATCAAACCCGTGTCCCTTGCATTGGCAGGCAGGTCCTTAACCACTGCACCACCAGGAAAACCCCCCGCCAAATACTGTTATAAATAGCTCCTCTCTAAGAAGTAGTCTTTCTGCGTAGTGGGTTGATAACTGTTACTGTGTGAAGTCTTTGGGTTTAATGTCCTTAGTGGCAGTGATCCCCAACCTTTTTGGCACCAGGGACCAGTTTGGTGGGAGACAATTCTTCCACGGGGCGGGGTGGGGGGGATGATATGGTTCAAGCGGTAATGCGGGCGATGGGGAGCCGCAGATGAAGCTTCGCTCACTCACCCGCCGCTCACCTCCTGCTGTGCGGCCCGGTTCCTAACAGGCCGAGGACTGGTACCGGTTGGCGGCCCGGGGGTTGGGGCCCCCTGTTATGAGGGATAACTTTTTCTAGCTCAAGCAGGTAGTTCTTCATTTGGCAAATTAAAGGCAGTTCTAGAAATTCTAGATAATATGGCAATAAGATACCCACCTAAATGCATCTCAGACATTGCCAACTCATTTACCATCTTAGAAAATGGCCTTTGTAGATATTAACAAGTCTTAGTTACCTCCATGCTCAATTTGCCAGTATATTTTAATCCCATGCCAGCATTTTTCTCACCTAACTTGTTTACAGGCTCCCCACCCCCAACTCAACAAATGCAAATTCATTTTCATGTCTTATTACATAAAACACAAATCATTAAGAAGACAAATATGCTAACCCCTTAACCCATAAAGGATAATCAGTGGATTTTAAAGCTAAGTATAAATTATTATTATTATATATATATATTTTTTTAAAGTATCCTAAGCAATTCTTTTCCCAAGCTTTTTTTTTTTAACGTTGGGGGTAGGAGTTTATTAATTAATTTATTTTTGCTGTGTTGCGTGTTGCGTCTTTCGTTTCTGTGCGAGGACTTTTTCTAGTTGTGGCAAGCGGGGGCCACTCTTCATTGCGGTGCACGGGCCTTTCACTATCGTGGCCTCTCTTGTTGCGGAGCAGAGGCTCCAGACGTGCAGGCTCAGTAGTTGTGGCTCACAGGCCTAGTTGCTCCGCGGCATGTGGGATCTTCCTGGACCAGGGCTTGAACCCGTGTCCCCTGCATTGGCAGGCAGATTCTCAACCACTGCGCCACCAGGGAAGCCCCATATTTTTAAATAACTTGTCTTTGTAAAGTGGTTGCACCATTGCTGCTGTCCATTTGTCCAAGTAGTCAAAAATTTGACTGTGGCCTTTTAGAGTATGTCAGCGTTCCTGTTACAGTTTGATTGCCTTGATATAGTTCTGAGGGAGACGGCCCCTGAGTTTTTGAAGCAGTGACCCATGCTAAACTTCGTTTCACATTCTTCTGCCTTTCCTGTAGATATGTGTCCTAAAAATGCTAGCTATTACGGGAATCGAGCAGCCACCTTGATGATGCTTGGAAAGTTCCGGGAAGCTCTTGGAGATGCACAGCAGTCAGTGAGGTTGGATGACAGTTTTGTTCGGGTATGTAATGGGGCTGTTTTGGGGGGTCTGAGTTCTGTAGTTGAATTCCTCTAGCCCAGGGTTTCTCAGTTTTGACACTGTTAACATTTGGGGCCAGATAATTCTTTATTGTGGGGAGCTATCCTGTGCATTATAGGATGTTTTCAGTAGATCCCTGGCCTTTAACTACTAGATGTGAGTAGCACTCTCCTCCCTTCCCAGTTGTAACAACCAAAAATATCTCTAACGTCGCTGAATGTCCCATGGAAGGCAGAATCACCCCTGGTCGAGAACTGCGCAGCTCCATCCCTTGTTGGTTGTGTGTGCATGTTGCTGCTGTTGATTTCCTTTGGCTTGGCCAATCATGCTCCTTTTCTTCCCTCTTTGTGTTTCTTCTAGGGACATCTACGAGAGGGCAAATGCCACCTATCTCTAGGGAATGCCATGGCAGCATGTCGTAGTTTCCAGAGAGCCCTAGAACTGGATCACAAAAATGCTCAGGCACAACAGGAGGTATGGGTCTGATGCCATCAGTATCAGAAGAAACAGCAGGGTGGTATATTTGGAAGGAATAGTGACTTGAGAATCAGAACTGAGATCTTGTCTCACTTCTGCCATCAGCCACACCTGGGTGAATGTGTGCAAGTCTCATAGTCTCTGAGCCTCAGCTTCCTTATCTGTAAAAGGAATTTTGCATATGATTTACAGCTTTGAAAATCTGTGCAATTTGGAGGGTTTCTGAGATAGCTGGGAGGATGGGCAGATGCGTCAAGGAACTGATTTGAGTGAGGTTAAAAAATTTGAATTCATATCCTGATTAAATTGGTAGCAGCTAGAAGATGTTTTAGTTGCATCTTCATATGTACCTAATTTACTCCTGGATGCATTTAGTGAGAATCTCACTGAACCTCTGACAGTGCCTTTTATTTTATGTATGTGCATCATGGCTCCTTTGTTTCTGACCTTAAGTTCAAACTGAGGGTAAAGGTTGGGCCTTAACCTTTCTGTTAAGGAGTCTCGGCTACATCTTCACCAAATTGATTTGTGAAAAGTCTGTGGTTCTGATTTTCTTGAAATAAACTCATCAAGTCCTTGTTGGTTTTTCTGGTTGTTGAATCTGCAACTTCATTAAAACTCTCTTATATGATTTTTCTGGTATAGTTCAAGAATGCTAATGCAGTCCTAGAATATGAGAAAATAGCAGAAACGGATTTTGAGAAGCGGGATTTTCGGAAGGTAAAGTACAACTGTGAGGAAGTCTCATCTACACTTTTCTCACAAAGTTCTCTGTGTGTGTGTGTGTGTGTGTGTGTGTGAGGTAATTAGAGGAGTAGTATGGTACAGAAGATCTAGAATAGTAAATTATCACTTTAATTTGGCATTGACCTTTTCTTTCCCTGTTTTTTTTTTAAGACTTCTATTTATTGTTTTTAGAGTTTTAGGTTCACAGCCAAATTGAGAGGGAAGTACAGAGATTTCCCATATATCCCCTGCCCCGCACATGCGTAGCCTCCCCCATTATCAGTGTTCCCCAGAGGAGAATTCCAGAGGTACATTTTGTTACAACCAAGTTTTTGGCAATTATGAATAAAGCTGCTCTGGATATCTTTGTGCAGGTTTTTGTATGGATATAAGTTGCAACTCTTTTGGGTTAATACCAAGAAGCACGGTTGCTGGATCCTATGGTAAAAGTATTGCAAGATTGTTTTGCAAGAAACTACCAAACTGTCTTCAGAAGTGACCGTATCATTCTGCATTCCCACCAGCAATGAACGGGCGCTTCTGTCGCTCCACATCATCAACATTAAAAACATTTTTTTTTGTTAAGGTTCTTATTTTCTTAATTATATTTCGCTTTATCATAAAAAGCGGTATGAGTTTGTTACTTGAGTTCGTTCCTGTTTCTGATATAAGGTATGCTGGTTGGTAGAGGAAAAGCCAGTTGGAATTAAATATTAGGTTTGGATAACCCATTTTTATTAGAATAATGAGAGCTAGCTTTAACACCTGCTTTGTGTGATCTAGATGGAGCCATAAATAAAAGATAAAGGCCCCTTTTACATTTTTGAATAGTGTACGTAACCTGTCGTCATACCTTTTTGTTGTTAAGCCTTTCCACAGAAGCACACTACCGTCCTTTATGGAGCTGTGTGATAGTACATGAAAAATGTACGTGCCAAAGGGATTGACCTATGTGAAGTATGGGAAAGGTATCAAAGTTCCAGGTATCTTTCTAAGTCTTATTTGTAGTGGTTATCTCTCAGCTGAGTAATTCCTGATTCCCTTCTTTAGATGGAACTTGGAAGTAGCTTTCACTAGAGTTTCAAAAGGGGAGGTAAGTGGCCCCCAAAAGGGTTAAAAACCACTGATCAGGATCAGTTTTCAGGATCACTTAAGATTGTATCATCCAAGGACTGGAGTCGTCACTTCATATGTGGGAATTTGCTCAGTGCTTTCTGTAGCAGGTACTCAAATGCTTGATAAAAGGGTACAGTTAAGAATCATTCTTAAGTCACAAACTGTGACAGTCTTTTATTTGGTAATATCTGATTAGCTTATACAGAGTCCTAGCATTAACTTATTAGCGTCCCTCTTCTGTCCATTGGTTTTAATAACCACAGTGTCTTTGTAGTGCAGTTCATACTTTGTTTTGTGTGTGTGTGTGTTTGGAAAGCAATTCTGCCTCGTGTCACATTTTTAGAGCTTTGCATAGGCAAAAGCTTTGTCTCAAAAGGCGGTCTTTTGGGTTTCTTTTCTTTCTTGCCCACCCTGGAGCCAGAATCCCTAGTCTGTGACAGAATCCTCTGTTTGTGACATCCCAGCACCCCCACTGTAGTTCATGGTGATGTCACAAATGAAGAATTATGATCCTGGCAGGGGAAACAGATGAACTTGGAAGAAACAAAGATCTTCTTTGCCTGCAGCTGTCCATAGTCATGGGGAGGTGGGGGTGGGAAGTGAGGCTCCAACTGACACTCCCCACCATGAGCTAAACCCTCTCCGTACAGAACGTCACAAAGGCAGCAGGTTGTGGCTGCTTACATTTTGACTGACTGCCCTCCTCCCAATTCTTTTTCTGTTTAAGGAGGGGAAAATTAGCACCATGACTGCCCTGCTCAGTACCTGCATTTTCATATTGTTCTTAGAACATAAGCTGTGCCATTCAAGGAAAGGTGTCCCCACCACTGCTCTGTTGACCCTGCGGAAAGCCTTGCCAGTGCAACAGCTCATGGTGTTTACCTACTTCCCTTTATTTTTAAATTTAAATATTTGAGTAGGTGCTATTCTTGGTTCAAAAGTTAGAAAGTATAAACAATTACTCAGTGATAAGTGCTCCCCCCCAAACTTATCTTCCATCTGCCTATTTCTCACCCTTTAGGATAACCACTGTTCTTGTTCTGTTTACTGCCACAGTTTTGTTCTACATAAACAAATACAAATACAGCATTTTTTTTGGCCGCGCCTCGTGCCTCGTAGGATCTTAGTTCCCCGACCAGGGATTGAACCCTGGCCCCAGCAGTGAAAGCACCAAGTCCTAACCATAGAACCGCCAGGGAATTCCCAACAAATACAAAGATAGATTCTTAATTTTCTTTCTTTCTTTCTTTCTTTCTTGCATGAAAGGTAATAACGCTCTGCAAAGTTCTGTACCTTGCTTCCCCCCTGCCCCCCACTTAATAGACCTTGGAAGTCTTTCCATATTAGTATATGCAGAACTTCTTCATTCTATTTTAGATCCACATAGTAGTTAGTGTGCTAGTATATGAGTGTCTACATTGCCTAACCAGTCTCCTGTTGATGGAATTTGAGTTATTTCTGCTTCCAGTTTTCAGACTTCATCTCTTCCTGATCCCTATGACCAGATTCTTAGAGGGAACGGGTATCCCTTAACTCCAGATTTCTCCATTGGGTCAGTTATTCTTGGAGGAGAATATGATTCAGGAAGGATTTCCCAGGAATAACAGATAAACCAAAGTGAAAGCTCAGAGAACAAACTCAGAAAAAATAGGAATATATGGAAGTCTTTATGAAGCTGAAAGACTGAAATAATCTCAGCTGTGTGTGTGAGAGAGAGAGAGAGCGAGAGAGAGAGAGAGAACCTTTTGGTTTGTATAGCAATGTGTTAGGTATAGTTTAGGACTATTGAAAGCAAACTAATCATTAGATATTTCTGTACTAAAGTGGAAGTGGAAGAGTGGCCACCATGTGAGGCTTATGCCACAGGAAGGAGGGAACTGTGAGCAATTTCAGTAATATAGGGAGTAATGATTCTTTATCAGGTTCTCTTTTTGGTATTCCTTGTCTTACTTAGTAGGCTAAGCATGATGAATTATGCAAAGTAGCAAATAATGGTATTTCTACTAGAAGAATGTGAGTTTTGATCACAGTCACTATCGATATGATTCCCTGTGGAGGCACCTTAGTATGGTGATTAAGGTTATAGGCTCTGGAGTCTTTGTGTCTAAGATCAAATTCTGTTCCTATTTGGTCCAAGGTCCAGGCTTTGGTGACCTTGAACAAGTTACTTAATCTCTACTTCAGTTTTTTCATCAGTAAAATAAGGGTATTAATATTACCTGCTTCAGAAAATTGTTGTGGGCATTAAATGGGTTAATATATAAAGTACTTAGTAAATGTTTGCTGTCATCATTATCATCTGGATCGGCTGCTCTCCTCATTTCAGTGGTTTAATCAAATAAATTAGGGGTGTGTGTGTGTGTGTGTGTGTGTGTGTGTGTGTATATTTGTTTGTTTGTTTGTTTAAACAGGTATATTCTTAAACTCTGGTATTACTTCCCTTTGAATCTGTTGCCTGTGACCAAACTAAAGTCAAGACATTTTCTGGAGTCCAGGATGAAGAACCTTATTTGCTTTCTTCTTCCCCATAGGTTGTTTTTTGCATGGACCGTGCCCTAGAATATGCCCCTGCCTGCCATCGCTTCAAAATCCTCAAAGCAGAATGTTTAGCAATGCTGGGTCGTTATCCAGAAGCACAGTCTGTGGCCAGGTATGAAGTCAGGCCAGTTTTGTATTAAAATGCCAGATACCACTGGACGAATGCTGTCTGGCAGTTCCCTACAACAGGAGTTAACATATTGTCCTGTAGGTAGGCCAGCCAGGGTGATCAGACCTTCCTGGGACTTAAAGCCAAAGGTTAGACCGGGTATTATACCGAAAATCCAAAGGTATTTATGTAGGAGTTCAGTAGGTACTTGAGCTATATGTGAAAGAAGAGATGTGTGGATTTTTTGGTGTGTTTTTGTTTTTTTAAATGTCCGTTTCTTTCTACTCAAGGGGTTTGTGAACTCTAAAGGGCTGGATAGTAAATATTTTAGACTTTGCAGGCCGTGTTGTCTCTGTTAACAATTCAACTCAGTCACTATAGTGTAAAAGCAGCCATAGATAATAGATAAACAAATGGTGTGGCTGAGTTTCAATAAAACTTTATTTACAAAAACCAGCAGCAGATAGGATGTGGCCTGTGGGCTGTATTTACCAACCCCTGATCTAATAAAGATTGTGAGACACAAGAAGTATATAAGGATAGATACAGGTGATTTATTTGGGGACAGGTTGGGAAGAGTGCTTGGGAATCTACTTTTGGATACTTTCCATATTAGACACATGGTCAAGAAAAAAACTGGCCAAATGATAGTAATGGTGGGGGAGATCCTAACCACAGCTGAATGTGCCCCTTTCTGGCTATTGCAGTGACATTTTACGAATGGATTCCACCAATGCCGATGCTCTATATGTACGAGGTCTTTGCCTTTATTATGAAGATTGTATTGAGAAGGCGGTTCAGTTTTTTGTCCAAGCTCTCCGGATGGCTCCTGACCATGAGAAGGCCTGCGTTGCTTGCAGAGTAAGTTCTAGGCACCAGATCTGGGTAGGAAAGAAAGCTTTCTTTTTGAGCCTTTTAGAGAGTTAAGGTGGAAGGTTTTAGAATCACAGGGAATGTGATAGCACTTCTTCCCTCCTTGCCAGGATGCTTGATCTTTTCATGAGAAATTATTTCAGGGCAACTTTTATTTGCCTAAAGGTAAATGTGATCTATAGGGTCAGATCCTTTTAATATCTAAGTGTGTTTTTTCTTTTTTTCTTCCTTCAGTGAAGAAAAGATAGTAATGCTTATCCTGGGGAGTGGAGGTAAACCCTGGGTAACACAGGTCTCATTGGTATTCTTTTATAAATCTTGGTTTCCCCTGTCCACTCTGTAGGAAGCACCAGTGAGCAACAAATAGCCCAGATGGTGGGGTTGCGCAGGGTGGAGGGCCATGTGATGCTAAACCGCTGGGATCTAAGCAATTGAAAATAGACTCTGGCCTCTCTGTGCAGTGGCCTCTCAGACGAGGCTTTCTGGATGTGAACTGACCTCCCCTTGCTTTTCTCTGTAGAATGCCAAAGCACTTAAAGCAAAGAAAGAAGATGGGAATAAAGCATTTAAAGAAGGAAATTACAAGCTAGCATATGAACTGTACACAGAAGCCCTGGGGATAGACCCCAATAATATAAAAACAAATGCTAAACTCTACTGTAATCGGGGTACGGTTAATTCCAAGGTAAGCACTTGGTCTGGGGCTTGGGGCCTATGGAGATATTTTTAAGGGCCAACAATGCAGTCTTGGGAAATTTGCCCAATGAGGGTAAGCCAGATGAGAAAAGGTTGATATTTCAGCTTGTTAGGAACTTCCTTCTGAGAGGCAAGCTTTTAGATTTTCTGTGGAATTTAGGGGCACTTGAGGGACAGTTCGGAAGGATATTCCCACCTGTTGTTCAAGTTTCTTTCTTCCAGTAAAAGAATGGCTAGAGGCTTTGGGACAATTTTTAAAGCAAGTATTGCTTCTTTTTGCCTAAGCAAGTGATTATTTCTTTTTTAGGAGTGATTTGGAGGAAATTCGAGTATGAGGCAGGCTTAGTTTTTTTCTCCAGTATAACTGATGGTCACCATGCTCAGTTGAAAATGTCCTAAGTTCTGTCCCACACAACTGTCAGAAAGAATAGGCTCCTTGCTCTCGCAGAGTCCTAGTGGTTTAAAAATCACAGTAATTCTGATCCCTCCAGTTGGCCTCTGGAAGAATAGGAGGCAAGAACCACCCTTACTCTTTCCATGTCTTGGTTGGGCACTAACCTGGAATGGTAGAGGTGGTTTATCCTTGCAGATAAGTGTGCTTTGCTTCCATCCTTTAGAAAAGAAACCAATTTTGAATTTGGTGTCCTTAGCCCTCTGAGATACTGGCTTTCCAGTGACCAAGAATGAGTGTGGCGGTTAGGGGGCCAGCATGACTGATCGATCCTCCTAGAATTTTGAAGCCATGCCCACAGCTTCTGGGCTCCCTCAGTCACCCAAGATGTGAAGTATGACTGCTCCTCTTTTTCCTGAAGCTTAGGAAACTAGATGATGCAATAGAAGACTGCACAAATGCAGTGAAGCTTGATGACACTTATATAAAAGCCTACTTGAGAAGAGCTCAGTGGTAAGTTCCTCTGGTGGGTGGGGGGAAGAGGGTGTTGCTGCTGGCCTGCCAGGGGAATTGCATTATGGATGATGAAGCAGACCCAGGGATGTTGTGAGGTCATTTGGTCCTTCCCCCTGCCTCTAGGTGGGATTGTTCCAGCCCTAGACTATCTTTATAGACCTCCAGCGAAGGAGATTGCACAAGCTCCCTCAGTCTCCCATGCCAGTGTCTTACGCCCCTCACGGTCAGTAAGTTTCCTCTGATGCCTGACCCAAATTCCTTTTGTTAAAGTTTAAATCCATTTCCTTTGGAGATTTTATTTTGTGTTGTACACTTTTGCTCTAACTTGGCATAGTGCTTGGTGCTTGGCACACAGTAGGTGCTCACTCAATTAATGTTTGTTGAATGAATGTATGGTGGTTGGAAGAGGAGGAAAGGTATCTCTTGTGATAGTTGAGAGTTGTGCCTATCCTGTATGTTCTGGGTTAGGGAAGACAGTCTTTTGACAGGAAGGGATTTAATCTGGCTCAGCCTCCCAGCAGTATATGGAAGCCCCTTTTGAAATATCCTTGTCTGACTAGGATATTCCTGCCTAGGTCTAGTGCTCAGATTTGCCTTCAGAGTCAGGTTGCTCCCCAGCATACTTGTTCATTTTATTCTTGACCCCACTAGACTCTTTTCTCCGGACAGGAACATGAGCAGGGGCTAGGAGAGACCTCTCCCCAGAATCCATCTTTTCTTTTTTCAGGTTAATTTCCCAGCCGGAGAAGAATGTCCTGTCTTTAAAGTTCCTAAAGGAAGACCTATTTGTTGTATACCAGTCCTCCAAAACCCATCCCATTCCTTGTCATGAAATGGCATAGCCAAAGACAGGTGCTGTTACTGCTACCTGATGAGCCCATAGTTCTTCAAGCTTTCCAGTCTCACCAGTTGTGCAGAGCATGGGCTACTCCCCATTTAGTTTTCTCAAAATTATCCACGTTTTTAAAAAATAGGAAAACTCCTGTGTGTAGTGCTTTTTTTTTTAGGTGAATTTCTAAGTAGATGACTAAATCTGTCCAACAAACATACACGGAATTATATTACAGATTCTGTGAGACCAACTGTCAGTCATCTCATCTTTTCAAACCACTTGCAGACACACATGGAAGACAAAAGCATACCCTTTGACCCAGCTAAAGACTTATTTTATCAGACACAAAATGCTATATACATGTTTACTGCAGTGTTATTGTAATAGCATAAGAGGAGAATCTCACCTAGATGTCTAGTGGGAAGGGGGTGGCTGGATACATAATACTGTATCAACTCAATGGAACACTGTAGTGTTTGAACAGGGTTGGGAAGAGAACAGAAAATTCTGGATTTGTTAGGAGGGTAATGGGATGAAGGACTTTGTTTTTCATATGTGCAATAAATAAAAATCAGGAGTTGCTTTGATCAGATAGCTCCTTATCTTTGTGGTAGAAACAGAACTGTTCTCTTGAGTGGCTCTGCCATGAGATCCTGCCGCAGAGGACAGCGTGCACTGTTCGGCACAGTCGGCGGAGGCTTGGCAGCAGTCCCCTCAGGCAGCTGGGATTGACAAGAAGTACTGGAGATTAGTTCAGGCCAGAGCCTTACGAGAGCCCTGACTACTGCCCCAGTCTGCCTCAGCTCACCCCTACAGGTGGGGAGAGGCCAGATCTTTGCTACGTTTCCCATGATGGGCTGGAGTTTTCCATTTGCCCTAAAGCTCTACTTTTCTACTTTTTCTTCAACTTAAAAAAAATATTTTAATGTAAGGATGTCCTTGAATTAAAAAAAAAATGTGAAGTAAAAATGCAAGTCACTAATATAAGCTTATTTAGTACATTATGTAGGGCCTGGTAAGTCCATCAAGGTAGCTTGTTTGTCACATCATTTCTATACCCAGAGCTGTCAGTTCTTAATTTTCTGTTACTTCAGTTTATATTATTATACTCCATCCTGCAGATGGGTTCTCTGTACTCCTAGTAGCATTTGTGCCTTGCGTCTGTGGGGCATTGGTTTTGTCACCATTTTTTAAAAGTCATTAATCAAGATGTGGCCAGAAAATCAGATGCCTAAGATGTTGGGCTTCACTTTTGCCAGCCACATCAGTAGTGCTCCCCCTGCTCTGGCCTCTAAGCCTGGTGGGGCTCTGTGATGTTTGCAAAGATCGGCTTGTGTGGCAGCAGTGTAATAAATTGAACCTCTTTGTGCAGTGGCTAGCTGCACTGCATGGTCACTTCCCACTCCCCAGCTGATGGTGACTGTCTGGAACTGCTACCAGAGTCTGTTTAATCGGTAGGCCAGTCTTGGAGCCAGTGATATTATCAGGAAAATGCCCTTTACTTCTGTGGAAGAGACACTTAAAAGGTCTGGCGATCAGCCTGTCAAGCTTGTCTCCTCCCATCTTGGGCCAGGGGCCCTCCATTCTTCTGTGCTATTGAAGTAGAAGCAAGCCTGTGTTTACGTCTCCTTTTCTATCTCATTAACCTACATCTCTCGGATTGATTAGTCTTAATGGAAGCATTTGCCAGCAGCCACCACCTTGAACTTGATCCTTCCAGTGGCTGACGAATCCCACACCTCTGGATTGGAGCTGGCCCTGCATGTTTATGGTACTCTCTGTTTCCAAGCTCTTCCATATCCATTGACCTCACTTGATAGTTTTTCTCCTGTGTTTCAGTCCCAAGTAATCAAGTAGGTACCTTCACGTTTGTCTCTCCTGAGGTGATCCAGATGCCTCTCGGTGGCTCTGAGTGAAATCAGAAGGAACTTTCTCCTCTTGGTTGCTGTCTGCTCAGAGCAGAATATCACTTTGCTGGTTAGGTGCAGGTGGCATGAGACCGCTCTCTCTCTCTCTCGAGGACTTGGTAGTCCATTCTTCACGTGGCTAGCTTAAGGACTCCTGTTTCATGAAGCGTCTCAACCAAAAGCGTGTGTCTCTCGCTTGAGCCGCGCCTCTTCCCCTGGAGTGGTACTGAGGCCACTGCTATTTACGTCGCTGTACTGCCCTGTATTTCCTTCTCAGTTACATGGACACAGAACAGTATGAAGAAGCAGTACGGGACTATGAAAAAGTGTATCAGACGGAGAAAACAAAAGGTAAAGGAGTTTGAGAGCATGTTTCTCAGGGAATTGTGTGGTCTGACCTGTAGGTCCTAAAACTGGACATAGGAGTAGTTTGATTCAGGGATGAATGAACCTGGAGCTTATTTGAAGAAGTGAGCAGAGACCCCGAGAGTGGGACAAGGCACCTGTTTTCTGGTCCCCAGTCCTCCCTGTCACTTTCACTTGCTTTTCTGTGTGATGAGGCCAATGTGAAGAACATACCTAGCAGTAGATTTTTTTAATCTCCAGAAGAAAACACCGTAAAAGCCCCTGGTAAGGTTAATGAGGCTTCTGACTCCAGGGCATCTGGGCGGGGCCTGGTAAGGGAAGCCAGAATCAGGCGCGTCGTTGACGCCAGATGTCTTCCTCCAGAACACAAACAGCTCCTAAAAAATGCACAGCTGGAACTGAAGAAGAGTAAGAGGAAAGATTACTACAAGATTCTCGGGGTAGACAAGAATGCCTCTGAGGACGAGATCAAGAAAGCTTATCGGAAACGGGCCTTGATGCACCATCCAGGTAGAGCGGGTCGGGAGGGGGCTCGGTGCGGGGAGCAGGCTAGGCCGGCCGCTGCCAAGCTCAGTCCAGCACGAAAGCCTCAGAGAGGCTGCTCAGCTGGAATAAGGTGTTGCTCAGTTCCATACCCTCCAAGTTCGGGAAGTACCAGATTCTAAAATCAGGGATAATGTGGTCTTTCTGTCAGACTTTGTTTTCTTCAGGCTCTGAGTTCTTCCCATACTCCTCCCTTTAGATCGGCACAGTGGAGCCAGTGCTGAAGTTCAGAAGGAGGAGGAGAAAAAGTTCAAGGAAGTCGGAGAAGCTTTTACCATTCTCTCCGACCCCAAGAAAAAGACTCGATATGACAGTGGACAAGACCTGGATGAAGAGGGCATGAATATGGGTGGTGAGTTGGCAGTTGGTTGGGGCAGCCTAGGATGAATCTGACAGCTGCAGAACGTTATTTTTTTAAAGACACTCCAGAGGGAGAGTCTTATGTAATCAGCCAGTGATGCTCTGCAGTTTGTAAAGTGCACTCTGATAAGTACCTGTAATGTGTGAGGTACTCTGATGGGTGTGGAAAATAACAAAGGTGAATCAAACATTCCCTGACGTCCGGGAACTCACAGTCCAGGGGTTTGCAAACTCTGGCCCATAGGCCAAGTCTGACCCCTGGTCTAATAGACACGGAGTCCAACGAGGGCAATAAAATATAGCAGGTGTCAAGGGTGCAGAGTGGGTGCCGAGGAGGTCAGCACTAGCAAGGGAAGGCTTGGATGTGCAGAAAAGCATAGCACCTTGTGGGAGCTACCAGGGGCTCGGCTAGGAGGATAGAGGGTGCTCGAGGCACAGAGCGGTGAGAACTGCACAGAAGCTGGGTCAGACCTCAGCAGGCCTTAGAGGCTACAGGAAAGAATGTGGGCTTTTCCTTTCGGCTGGAAGTTCTTTCTTCCCCCACTGCAAAGTGTTTGCTGATACTTATGCGTCTCCCACATTCCTGTAAGCCCTCACAGACTGCAGTTTCCCCAGAAGACCTAGAATGAAGTAAAGTGCAGCCATGAGCATCATTGCTGACTGTGAGCTTAGGTGGAGATAAAAGAAGCCCCGAACAATGCAGTTCTCAGACCACTGCCTCTGACGCCAGGCCCTTCTCTTCCGCTGAGAAAATGTACTGGAATTTAAAATAAGGTTGATGCGCTACAGATAGTTCTCACCTTGCCAGTTCGTGTGTGTGTGTCTGTGTGTGTGTGTGTCTGTGTGTGTGTTATAAAGCCTAGCTTTGGACTTGCCTGACGGTCCAGTGTTTGGGACTCTGCACTTCCGCTGTAGGGGGCATGGTTTTAATGCTGCGAGGTGCAGCTCCCCCCGCCAAAAAAAAAATAATAAACATTGCTCTGCCCAGCAGTTGAGAAGAGTTGTAAGCAGTCGAAAGCTGTTGAAGGGATACAAGTCGGGGAGCCATGGACCTCATTTAGGCTCTGGAGATGTATTTGTGATGGCAGTGAGGCGAGCTGGTTTGGAAAGGGTGAGGAGGAGGGAAGACACAATCACTAGGAGAGAATCGGAGGGTACAATCGGGAGACAGTGTGAGAATCAACAGGAGTGGCTGCAGAACATGTTGGGCGAGGCAGAGGACTAAGTCAAGAGTGGCTTTGGCACAGCTGGCCTGATGGGGCTGTTCCCTGAGCTGGGGACCCAGGAACATGAGCGGATACACAGGCGAAGAAAAATTCACTTTTGGACACGATGTGCCCGTGGGTGGGATTGGCTGGTGGAGATAAATCCTGTGCAGCTGAGGGAGTTAGGCAGACTGGCGGTGTGAGACCTGCTGTGGCCTGGTGAAGAAAGCACGGTGCTAGAGGCACGCAGGAGTTGGCAGTGTTGTTTTGTTGCTTTCACTGGCCGCGTGATCTTGGGCAAGTTACTTGAGCTTCTGCTTAGGTTTTGTTGAGTATAAATTGGTACTCAATGATATAATGTATGCAAAGTACCCAGCACCGTGGTTGGCACCTGGTAGGTGCTTAGTAAACTATAGCTTTTTTCCTGGCATACAGTGTAGACAGAGTATGGCATCAAACACATGCAGTAAATCATAGGTCTCATTCTTATATACAGTCTTAGTAGCACTTAAGTGATACGTTTTAGTCTTTTCAGTAGCAGCCCCAGCATTATAGGGAGACAGTGTGGAGAAAGTCTTACGTCGTAAAGCGCAAATGGCATTTCCAGTTGTTGAGAAGGCCCAGTGAAGTGGGTTGAGGCAAAGAAAGCTTTCCTTTGGGACCATGCTTGGAAGAAGGGAACACATCCTGGGAGTGGGATCAAGTAGTGGGATCACCCCTCGTCGGTGAAGTTTGGGGAAAGGAGGGAAGTGATATTATCTGGGAAAGCTTTGGAGACCCATTAGAGAAGGGTCTCTCTTAAGTTCCTCTTCAGACACTTCTAATTTTTTCACCTTTTTGTGCCTTCTCTGCTTCTCACTTTGCTCCGCAGATTTTGATGCAAACAATATCTTCAAGGCATTCTTTGGCGGTCCTGGGGGCTTCAGCTTTGAAGGTGGGTGTGCCTGAGTTCCCAGACCACAAACCGACACAAGGACTCCCCAGTTAGGCAGCACTAGGGGCCCAACAGTGGAGGCAGCAGAATTCTCGTCCAGCAGGACATCTACACCCTCGGGTGCTGCTGAGGATGGAGGAGGGGTTTGCGGGCACACCTGCACAGGGTCAGGGAGACGTCTCTAAGCTTCCTAGTACCGGAGCTTCTCTGCAAGAGTGAAGGTGTTAGAACTACGCACGTGCAACCTGCTTGCATGCTCCCTCCTGCACCCCAAGGCCCAGCCTGTTTGATACCCTTAGAGGTTTTTCTGTTTGAAGTAGCCCTTAAAGACTCTCCATAATCAGGGCAAACTGATCTTCCCCCAGAAAACCCACAGAGCCAGCTGACAAGCTTTTCTTTTCCCTACAGCATCTGGTCCAGGGAATTTCTTTTTTCAGTTTGGCTAATGAAAGGAAACCATCCAGAACCCAGAAAATGCAGACTTGCTCCGTTTAACCTCGAATGTGGCTGGACACAGCTCACCTCCTCCCTTCATTATGATCCACGTACTTAGAGCAGTTTCGTTTTCTCAGTTGGATACCCAGTGTCTGTGTGAGTGGGGTGAAGGAAAGGGAGCCAGTGCCGAAGACTGCGGGTAGGGGAGGGAGGTGGGGGGTGGACAGGGCAGCTTGTGAATTTTTGTTTTACTGTTTAACTTTATTAAAAAAAAAAAATTAAGAGAATAAAATGTTTTGACCCTTTCTGGCACTTTGCTCTGGCAACTGCTTTGTGTCACTCCAGAGTCAGTGGGCCAGAGCTGAGCCCCCAGCACGGAGCTGATGCCCACGTGGACTTTAGGCTCCGTGAGCCACCCCACGAGGGGTGGGGGCACCTGGAGGCAGGTGGGGTGCTGGCTGCCCCCAAATCGGTTTAGCACGGGAGTGCTGAGCAGGCCCTGGGGATGCTGCCGTGCCCAGCCTGATGCCAGTCATGGGGCAGCGAGTTCAGAAAACACATTTTATGGTAGGGCCACCAGAAATCACTAGAAGCTGCATGTGTCCAAAGTGGGTGCCAGGTGTCAGGCTGGGCTAACTCAGAGGTTTACACGGGCTCTGAGTTCTCACTGCTTGAGGGAGATGGTGACAAGGACAAAATCCTGCCTTTTTGACCCTCAGACCCTTTCCAAGTGGGACAGGCAGCTCCTGGGTGCAGGGATCTGGGCGCTGACGTCAGCTCACTTAGCTGGAAACAGCATTCTTAGCAAACGCCCCTTGCCTTCTCCACTGGTGTCCCTTCCTGTATGGGAGGCAAGCAGGGGGAGGAAGCAGTGGTATATGTCATGCTGTTCAGGTCAAGCTTTTGTGTTTGTGGTGAATAATTTCAGTTCCAGGCAGACACACTTGAAGCTTTGGCTGAAGCTCTGATTTTTGGTGCTTTGGGTAAGTAGAGATGGCTGAGTAAAGACCTTGGCCCAAATAGCTATTTCTCTTCCATCTGAGCCTCTGCCCCTTTCTTTTCAGCCTTCCCCCTTTAGTGCCAAAGCTGCGCTGAAATGCTGACTGCGTGAGGCCTGGGAAGTTCCCATGTAGCCATCCAGGCCCCTCTTGGCTTGGAAGAGTCAGCTGTTCCCTTGTGTTTCAAGTGGCACTGATCTGAAGGTGACCTTCCCTAGAGAACCGCAGGCACACCTGTGGGCCTGTGCCCAGTTGCTGGGGGGTGGCAGCTCTGTGCTCCACGTCCCTCATGCCGGCCAACTCCCACTGCCTGTGTGCACCCAAGACCAGCCTCTCTCCCTTCTGCCTCCTCGTGAAAGCCAACAGTGTTCCACTGCCCAGCCTCGCCGCAGCTGTGCTCAGCCCGCAGAGGGGAGACAGGACCGATGGCCCCAAGCTGGGGACAAAGGCAGTCCTGATGCACCCTGCCCTTGCCCCAGGGAAGACTGAGCTGGGCACAGAGGGCGAGAGAGACTGCACGCAGCTAGGATTAACACGATTTATTTCATTATCAGTCTTACAAGTTGCTGAGGTTGGGCAAAGCCAGGATAGTAACTAAAATCCCGGGCACTTCTGTCAAGTGACAACCCGATTAGCAAGGCCCTGTTACTGAGCAGAGGGCAGCAGAGGGCACCCCAGGAACCACAGCACCTGCAGCGATGTTAAAAGCCCCTTCCCAGAGGCACCGGGTGGGGCTTGGCACGAAACTGCTGGGGGCCACTCCATTGGCTCTTGGTACCCACTGACCCCCTTTAGCAGAGGCACAGAGGCCTCCGGAGGCACCAAGGAGGCAAGATGGGCTGGGCAGACAGCAAGATTGGAGCTTTCCCACCGAGGCGCTGTCTCTGGCCCTGATCTCCCCATCCACACGACAGAGCTACGCCCCTGGAAGGATGGCAGCCCACCCGCTTCCTGGGGTGAGACCTGTAGCCAGCCTGGGATGCGGCTGCTGCTTATTCTGTTTTCTTCCCTAGTATCAAACTGTTACCTAGTTACAGTGTGAGGAGGAGGGAACAGGCACTTAGGACCAAAGGTGGAAGGTAAAAACCCCTTTTCTACCCCGGTAAATAGCCCCAGGCTTTCTGGGGCTACACTGATTAAGAAATGGGATCAAAGCCCAGGGATCATCCCGTCTCAAATCCACCTCTAGTCTTCTGTGGCCGTGGTGACCACCCCGTGAATACGAGCAGCGCTGGGGTGTCCCTCCCCACTAGCCGGCCCTGTGTGGGGCAGTGGGCCTAGGGGCCCAGCAACTGTAAGCGGGGCTTGGGGTCGTGGCTCCGGTCCAGGCCCAACTCGGCCCAGCCTCGTCAGCTTTGGTCCAGGTTCCTGAATGGCGCCTACCCACCCCCTCGTGTTGAGAGCTTGAGCGTTAGAGGGGAAGGGGGTGGGCAGGAAAAAAGAGCAGTTATTTTACACGTTTTTAAAAAGTTACAAGAAGGTTAACTGACTAAAAAAAAAAAAAAGAAAAAGAAAAATCTTAAACCAAAAATCAAGCAGAGGGATGCTTCCCTCTCCTCCCCATTCCCTTGAAAAGAGCGGGGGCCTGTGGCCCGGGAACACTCAGATGATGGTGCAGGACTGCAAGGCGCCACCCTTGCGGCCGCCCCGTGTGGGCACGGCCTTGCCCTTCCCGTAGTACCCCGTGAAGATGGCCCTGACCTCCATCTTCTTGGCCAGGTTCAGCATCCAGCGCCCACTGCCCAAGGAGTAGAGCTTGCCCCGGCTGAGCTCACCCACCTCCTCGCCGCGGTTACCCCCCTTCTCCTGCTTCACAATCTCTAGCAGGTCAATACCCGTCTGCACGGCTTCCACATCACCCGCGCAGCCCAGGGTGATGTGCGCGCGGCTGCCCCGTGCCAGGCTGTCAGAGGGGGACAGCTTGTCCACGTCGTTCGGCCACAAGGCCAGCTCCTGCTCACTCAGCTCTACCCGGGCTCCCGTCGTCTTGGGTGTCACAAAGAGGGCAGAGATGGTCAGCGTGAAGGCCTTGCCGTAGGATTTCTTCACCACCTACGGAGAGAGGACAGAGGACTGAGCTGGAGGTGGCGGCATCAAGAGAGGACAGTGAGTGCCACCGAGCAGAGCCCGCAGACATCCACATCCACGGCCATGTGCTGGCAGGATGTCTTTCCACCGACACTGTCCAGGCTGCTTGAAAAAATGAAGGTGCCAGACAGGCAGGAGAGAGCAGGCGTGAGACGCAAGGCTTCCTGAGCTCAGGCCGGGCTCCCCACCCACTAGCTTCAGGGCTCATTCACCTGTAAGAGACAGCTGAGGCTAGAACCTTCTTCAGCGTGAGGACTAAAGAAGAGCCTGGGGCTTCCCTGGTGGTGCACTGTTTGAGAGTCCGCCTGCCGATGCACGGGACACGGGTTCGTGCCCCGGTCCGGGAAGACCCCACATGCCGCAGAGCGGCTGGGCCCACGAGCCATGGCCGCTGAGCCTGCGCGTCCGGAGCCTGTGCTCCGCAACGGGAGAGGCCACAACAGTGAGAGGCTCGCGTACCGCAAAAAAAAAAAAAGAAGAAGAGGGCTTCCCTGGTGGCGCAGTGGTTGAGAGTCCACCTGCCGATGCAGGGGACACGGGTTCGTGCCCTGGTCCAGGAAGATCCCACATGCCGCAGAGCGGCTAGGCCCATAAGCCATGGCCGCTGAGCCAGCATGTCCGGAGCCTGTGCTCCGCAACGAGAGAGGCCACGACAGTGAGAGGCCCACATAACGCAAAAAAAAAAAAAAGAAAAAAAAAGAAGAGCCTGACAAGGGCTGTTGTCGTTACTACTCGACTCACCCTGTGAAAGCACCCTGGTATCCAGGCACTATCCTGGAGGGTGGGGTAAGGTCGGAAATAAAGGACTTTGATCCAAATCGAGTCCATACACTTTGGCTTACATTATATCTGATTCTCTGAAAAAGCCCATCTCTCCGATTTTGACCATGAAATCTTCCCTATTTTGCTCACACCCCCTGGTCCTAACAGTGTCTAGTGCATAACAGGTGCTTAATAAACACTGCTAAATGAATGAACAGAGATGGGAGTGAAAGTGCTGTGTTCATTCATGCAGCTGTGGTAGGTGCTAAGGATACAAGGTGAGCCACACTGTAAACAGTGCTGCCCTCAGGGAGCTTCCATTCGTGTGGGAGGAGACCAATGAATAAACAAAATGGCTGCGTTAACCTAGGCAGAGAAGTGGGGGAGCTGGCAGAGGGTCAGGGACGGCCTTGCTGTGAAGGCAACCTGAAGGAGGCTGGAGTCGGCCAGGCCCGGTGGTTAAGGATCCCATGTCAGAGGCTGTGGGCGGGGCTGGTACCCCTAAGCCAATAAGCCTCCCTGTCGACACTCCCCACTTCAGAGTGCAGCCAGGCTTCAGACTGGGGGTAAGGGACTTCTAGCCTTTGGAACTGAACACAGGCTTAGAGGCCAGAGCAGGAGCTGCTGCCAACCAGCATTCTCTGCGCATCTGCAGAAGGAACAGGCTCTGATGGGCAGGCCCTGGGGGGTACCACACAGGCTTCGGTGAGCTGGGGATGGAGCTGCCTCTTTTCCTGAGAGGCTGTCTGGTTTGTGGTCCCTGCCTTGAGCCGGTACCCATCTCCAGAAGACCCTGCCCTCTCCCCACCTCAGCCAGGTGTCCCCGAGGAGCACTCACATCCTGCTGGGCGTACTCGTCTGCCCCAGCGGCCTTCCCATAGTCACAGAACTTGGTTGTGCAGTGCAGCACGCCCGGGGGTCTCTTCCCAAAGTAGGTGACCAGTTCCATCTTCTCCCTGGGCTCATCCCCAGAGACAACTGAAGGGAGAGAGAGTGGGGCAGTCAGGGCGGGAGAGCAGGGGCATTGCAACATCTATCACCAAGACCATGGGAGACCCAGAGGAAAAAAATCAGACATTAGGTATAAATTTGCAATCCACTATAACTGAGCCATCCACTACCATCCATTAGTTGGTCAAATTAGTAGCAACTTTGGAGCTATGAAAAGGTGTTGATACACGTTCCCTGCTTTATGTTCCGCAGATGTTTACGTCTCTTACCCAGATGTGAAAACTAAGGCACTTGTAACCCAGGGGTAGGCGGCATATGCCACGGGAATCTGAACTGCACTAGCTACGCATCTGAAAAGAGGGAAGCAGGTCATGAAAAATGGGGTAGAAAGAAAAAAGAGGTTGGGAACTGTGTGGTATAATGGAAGGAGCCCGAAACAGCATAATTAACATCCAGCCCACTTCCAAGCCTGTGGACCTGGGGCAAGTGATTGACCCTAACCTGTCAATCAAATACAACTGGGG